GTGAAAATTAAGAAAATAATTTGTTAAACAGAATCCTTGGGAGTCAGGCAAGGTAGAGAGCGATCTGAGCACATCTCCAAGAGCCCAGCCCTTGTCATCCAGGCTGGCTGCAGGCAGCAAGGCCTACCACAGCCCTTCAAAGGCCCAGCTCGTGGAGGTGGCGTTAGCACACCAGTCTCCAGTTTTGCCCCGCCTGGCTGCTTTTCCTACCGGTTTTTAAATATTCAATTCATCATAACCTCCACTCTCACTGTTGTTCAGGATAATCAGTGACGACGGACTTTAAAGTCACTTTCCCCGTCAATGGCCACAGCTGTTGAACAGAGCCGGGTGGCAGGTGGGCCACTCTCTCAGATCCCTACAAAAACCTTAGTGCTTTTCCTTCTATTCTGTTCATTTAAACTTCTCAAACATCACAGTTAAAAATAACTCTTACTACTGAAACAGGGAAGTGGCATGTTGAGACTTCTCTGCTGCTGAGCACTAAAATGGCTGGTCTGAATGCAGACCGGACACACTCTCAGAGCGCAGGCTGCGGTCCCAGGCGTGGCCCTCTAAGGAACGCCAACAGGCGCCTACTGGGTCTGCTCTGCAGCATCCCATCATTACTGCCAGGAGCCGCTACTTACAGCCTCCTGCGTGTTTCTGGAGGTCTCAGTTAGGACGGTGAATACCTAACACTCTGATCTTTAAAACCTCCCAGTGTATATACGTTAATACACTCAATCCTTTGGCAAATTCATCAGCGCTAAGGGTGGGCCATGGGTTTTACTATGTGCGTAGCTCTCCCTGTCATCCACCTGCTAGCAGAATACACAGTTTGGTTCACATCTACCAAAACTGTTTGAAAGCTTCCTAAGTATAAAGTGCTGTTAAATATGACATAGGTTATTTAAAAAAAGCAAACGCACTGAGAGCCGGGGTCAGGGGAGGAGACTAAACCCCAGGGCCACAGCCAAAGCACAGGTGAAGCGGGTGGTCTGCTCGGGTCACAGAGAGGCGGAGCCCGCCTCTCGGGAGGACTGAGAGAGAAGGGACGAGGAGGGCAGGGGTGGGGAGCAGCGACTGAGGAGAGCTATGAAGAGCCCAGGGGCTTTCAACAACATGATGGAGGCGGCTTAAGCCTGCCTGCTGAGCAGAGGAAATCTAACGAAGGCAAGGAGGTACAGAAGCACAGAATGTGTACCAAGCCCCTGACCCTCAGCACACCAGGAGGAAGGCTCTGTCCCTCCGCCTCCGACTGTGGCTGGGAAACAAACTCGGGGCAGCTAGACCTGCTCCAGGCCAGGCTGGGGTTGCCTCCTGGCTCTTGCCCCAAACTTCTGCTAGGCTGAGGAGGTTGTGTGTGGGGGAACCTGGAGCTGCTGAGACCACACAGGACCTCGTGTGGACATGCTGGATCAGGCGAGGGGGCCATTGCAGGCTTTCACTCAGGGAAGTCATATGACCAGAGCTGTGCCTCAGGAAGAGAGTAGATGCACTAACAAGGACCCGAAACAGCATGATGGTGACCGGTATAGAAAAGGGCCCATGTGGAAGAAATCTAGAGTCCTGAGCCCATCTGGTCACTCTCTCCACAGCCAAATCCATGCAGTGACAGCTAAACAAAACTTAAAAGCAAAACACTCAACCACATAATCATTCTGTTTTCATTTTTTTGGCTCCACTGCATGGCTTGTGGGATCTTAGTTCCCCAAACAGGGACTGAATTCAGGCTGTTGGCAGTGAAAGTTCAGAGTCCTAACCACTGGACCTCCTGGGAATGCCGCACATAATCATTTTACACATACATAAAAAAAAGACATTTAATTTGAAATGTGAAAATTCTCCTAGGGAACTCCCTGGAGGTCCAGTGGTTAGGACTCGGTACTTTTACTGCTGGGGCCAGGGCTGGAGTTCAATCCCTGTTCTGGGAACTCAGATCCCACAAGACACGTTGCAAGGCCAAAAAAGGAAAGAAAAGAAAAGACATTCTCCTAAATATTCTGCTTTCCTTCCTTGAGACTAGAACTAGGCCAGGAGTCTTCACATGTCAATGGTGCAGCTACAGACTCCCAGACCTCAGGAGAGCGCAGGCAGGAGGAATGGCACTTTTAACACCCAAACACTAGCATGAACCCGGATGGGGATGGGTGGTGTGCAGGCAGCGGCGACACTGTAGCGCCCTCGCGTGGCCGCCGGGCGCCAGCAGCACACACGCTTCCTGACCACAGACTGCTGCCTGCCCTAAGCAACCCCACGTGGAGCAAGGATATGACGCAGAATGTTCGAAAAGTGTTGCCTCTGCCACAGAAATGAAGTAAATACCTATGAAATATTTTAAGTAAAAATCATTTCCCTCACCTGGAGCCCTCATATCTCCCGTTCCTCTCATATTCAGTTGGAAGCCTCAATGAATAGAATGCAGAAGCACAGAGAAGTGGGAAAGAGAAAAGAAATCTTACACACCAGTACACAACCAACCCAAATATAAAGACATTATAAAACGAACCCAAAGCACTTTCTGGTCACCTGTTGAGCTCATTACAACTCTTACTCTTGCAGGTGTGACTCAGCCAAAAACCATCTGTGTGCCCACGAAGGCCGTGCAGGAGGCAGGCCGCACATCTGCTTCACACACAGCAGGTATTCCTGCCCAGTTCTGGAATCTGTGCACGTGCATGGCTTTCGACTGCAGTTACTCTGACTTTTTAATCACTCCCCAAAGTATGTGCTTAGTCACTCAGTCATGTCCGACTCTCTGTGACCCTATGAACAGTAGCCCACCAGGCTCCTCTGTCCATGGGATTCTCTAGGCAAGAATACTGGAGTGGGTTGCCATTTCCGTCTCCAGCCCCTAAGTACAGCGGGTTTCCAATTAAATCATCACAGTGGAAAAAAGGAAGGAAGAAGGCACTCTTCCTGTGGTTTCTGACAAAGAGCTCCCGTGAATAAAGCCTCTCTGTGACCCACTTATGGCATTGCAGGTAAACCCATGGCCTGGCCTCTGGGGAGCTGAGAGGCGCGGGCATGACAAGGCTGCAGTGGCCACTTTCCCCTGAAGGGCGTGTGTCCTGAGAGTGTGAGCAATGCCCCTGGTCTCTTGACTGTCACATCACAAAATATCCACCTAGTAAGAGTAATATTTACTGCAATAAGATATACTTTCTTCAGAGGTTGGTAGAAAGTGCCTTTTAGATACAATACTATTTACTCTTCAACTCTTAGCCTTTCCCAAATGCAATCCTCCATGAAATTAAAAAAGAAAACAAAAACAAAAACACAATTACCACTTACCTTTTGCATGCCTGGGGCTAATCATTAATTGCATATTGTTACTGAACATCTCATTCTTCAAACAGAAGCATGCTAAGTGTTATTAGTATGAAGACAGAATTATTTGGAGGCTAAACAATTCTACCAAAGGAAGAAAATGCACAGAGCATGCGTAGGCCTCTTGTTACATGGGTGCAACAGTCCCTTTTAAGATGCCTGACAGAGTTAATCTCTTCCTCTCCAATTTCCTTTCAAAGAAATAAGTATTTAGTTCTCAGCAGAAAGTTTAGTTTTCAACAGGGCTACAAAGCCAAACCTGATGTTAATTGCAGGAGCCATTTCGGGGTGAGGATTGAAAAAAAAATGTGTATATATAAATCCTACCTTTTGATAAACCTGAATGACATGTTTCTAAAAGAAATTAAGCCAAAAAAAAAAAAAAATTAACAAAAATGACTTGCATAAGTTAAATAGTTATTACAGATAAAATAAAACCAGCAAGTAAAACAGGGCTCCTCTCCTGCCTAGTGAACAATGAAAACAGTGACATCTGATGAAAAAGTAAAATTATCACAAATAACTGAGTATGTGTCTTTTAAATAGAAATGTAAAAAAATCTGTACTAATAAGAAAAAATTTAGCAGTAAATATTGACAGTATCTACAGTTAAATTTTTTAAGGTTTTTCAGATGGGTACACCTTAAGATAATAAAATTCAACACCTTGTATTAAAGAAAAACCATTTTCAATGTACTAGAAATAAAGTAACATTTTTTAAAATAATATTTCTCAATTTTCTTCAAAATATCTGTGAACAAAAAATATCACCTTATACAGAGACATTAAAAATTTCATTATAAAATGTTTATCCATGAAGAAAATCAATACTTACTAAAGTGGCTCGATATAAATCACTTTTTAAGGAGAGCGGGGAAAAAAAAAGTCATTGGAGATTTTTTTTTCCCTTCCAGTTTTGATATAATTGACATACAGCACTGTAATACGTTCCTGGGAGTTTAAAATGAAGTAGACTTTTTAAAGCTTTCATACCAAAATGATAGAAAAATAAATGACATTGGGGGTTTCATTTTTAAGTAATACATTGAAACATTGAAAGAGTTCTATTTAAAAGAACTGACTCTGCTTATTAAAAAATTTAAGGAAATGTTTAGGCTGTACTGAATTGAATTTGACAAAAGAAACTTCCAACTATGGCTCAGGCCTGTGTGATGACATGATAAGCATTCCTGGGTGAGTGTGTCCTTGGCTTGTCAAACTACTGACACTTCTGAATCTCAGTTCTGTGACAGCACAGAAGTACCCATGAGTATTTTGCTGAGTGACTGAATTAACAGTTTTCTTTTTGTTCTTTTATTTTTCTCTAATTTGGGATGACTTTGGCACTGCTTCAGATACCTACCAATCTGAAAAGTATATAACTACTGGAGATAACCATTCCATACTCAGATCAAGAGCAGTACACCTTGGAATACACACAGTAGAAAAGATGCCTGTGAAATTGATTAAAAGGTCTTTAGGTCTTTAAGACCTAGTTGCATTTCCGATTTTCCTACCTGAGGAAAGTTAAGGGGACTGCTCAGGAGTCACAGGACCGACGTTAACTTGTCCTCCCACAAAGCCCTTGAGGGACGAAGAGGACGCCGCCTCGGGAGCACGCAGACAACCCAGGCGCACGGGCCCCCGCGTCACCCGGGCTGTCCCGCCTGCAGAGGACGGGCTCTCTAAAGTGCTCACGCCACCCAGCGCAGCCAGGCGCAGGCGGCGAGCTCGGACACCAGTCCTCGTTCTGCCACATCCCGGCAGGTCTCCCCTGCGGCACTCAAGTGCCAACACCTGAGCCTTCTGGGCATTCGCTTTGATCAGCACCATAACTAGGGGAGGCTAAGAAGATGCTGCTGGAGCAGCAAGGACTCCGCCTGCCTTTAAGAGTGAACTGGCAGCAACAGAAGCACAGCGCCGTGGCAGGCCACAGGACTGCTCGCAAACTCACAGAGAGAGGACTTCCTGAGAAATCCTCGGGGAAGATGACCCTCTCTAGGATACTTTTAACAAGGAACCCCAGCCTTCAATTTCAATTCAAATACATAAAATAAACAATTAGGGACACTATGTAGTGGGGATCAAGGGCCCCTCCTAGAACCATGGACCTGACTCAGCACTCTTCTCCCATTGGATCTTGAACACGTGCCTTATTCTCTCTGAATCTTATCTCCAGTTTCTTCTATAGAACTGGGATAATGTACACTCCACAGGGTAGACTGTGGAGATTCAATGTGTGTGTGAGGGAGAATGTATGTATGCATACATAGGTATATAAAACAAGTATCTCCATATCGATAAATGTACAGACATCTATTTGTTAGCACATAGTAAGCATTTGATGTATTGTGGCTGATACTACTTTTATCAGTGATAGAATTCAGAAGACAAAAGAAAAAGAACACAAAGGAGACAAATAAATGCAAGGATTTTAATGATGTGCAAGGCTTTATTTAAAGAGCCCATCTGAGACCAAAGCCCAAGGACACAAAGCTGCTCATCCTGTGACAGGAGCTTAGACAGAGCTGACTGCCACACCCCGCCTCCGCGCTCAGGGACCAGAAGGCAAAATACCAGTTGATACTAAGCAGCCTAGTCTCCAAGGAATGAGCTAAGGCACAGGGAGGCTTGGGAGAGCCCCTGGAATGACCCTGAAAGGAGGCAATGCATTATTCTGGGGTCATCAGACTCTCCTTGGGTTGAACTCACTGTCTCTCCTGTGGTCATAAATGGGTGACCCGAATCTGGCAAGGCTCCTTGGACCACTCTGCTCTTTAGCCCATCCTGGAATGGGAGGTCTCAGCAAAAGGGCTAAGAAGAGAAGAGGAGGGTAGACCAGAAACTTTTTACTCCTCTGATCTCTAGTCAATTGCCAGTGGGTATCAGAAGTCCTCCTTAATCTGGTATTCAACATCCTGACAATGAAGAGATAATCTGGGAAAAGATAGCTTAATGTGACTTGTCTGAATTATTTTTGATGTGGACCATTTTTAAAGTCTTCACTGAATTTGTTACTATGTTTTTGTCTCACAATTTGTGTTTTTGGCCCTGAGGCATGTGGGGTCTTAGTTCCCCAACCAGGGATTGACCTCTCACCCCCTGCATTGGAAGGTGAAGTCTTAAATCACTGGACTGGCAGGGAAGTCCTGTTTTGTCTAAGTTTTAGATGGCTGATTTAAAATAACATTACTGGAGGCATTAAGGAGACTGCCAAGTGATACCCAGCTTACAGTTAAGTAACACAGATGGAATGGAACACATCAGCAGGATAATGCACCACAGGGAGTGCGGAGAAATGAGGAGGAGTGAGGAGGGCATCTATCCTTCCAGACTCTGGGAAGGCCCCATCACTGTCCTGTGAGGGTCTCTAAGAGGCACATCTGCAGAACACCTGGAGAAGAGACTACTGCACAGAGAGGCTCAAGTACAAAGAACTTCCTCCAGGTGCCCCGGAACTGCAGGGGCTTGGAGGCTTCCTGCGAGTGGTCCTGACTAAAGAGGCCTTCGCTTACTTGCTAACAGTGTACAGTGGTACCTTGTCTCTTTCCTCTTGTAGCAGCCAATGATTCTAGGCTTAGCAACCTCTAGACCAGATTCTGCAAGTAAAGTACCTTAGAGATTTCCCAAGGCCCCAGCTGACAGTCAACGGGACAAACAAAAGATTTTATACATCACCAGATACTAGCTTCTTCCTGGGAATAAAGCAGGGATTTTATCTCCAAAACTACACAATATAAGAATGCTATCTGTTTTCATTATACCTTAGGCCGACAGAGAGAAGAATGTCAAGATTTAAGCTGCAAGAGGTGCATGCTCCTCCATGACCCTGGAATGAAACGAGAGGAGAGGCACCGTGTCCCTCCTGTGTGTCTAGGGGTGGTCACACCACACAGTCCTCCTCAGTGGCAGCTTGCAGGGTACCAGCCACTGGACAACACCACATCTGGGGTCTTGCTAAAATGCAGTGCACACACCATGTGGAGAAGTGTACGATTAACAGAAACGGTAATTAAGGAACAACAATTTCCCAAGCACTAGAGAACTTTCAGTGTTGTGAAAGCACTCGGGGCTCTATAATTTCTCTTCTAAAAGGTTTCAGAAGTACAGAGTGAGATATACAAACCAGAAAAATGTGAGCTAAAGACAGAATGAAAAGCATCTGTGCAGTGGCTTCACATAATGGGGGGGGGAAACACTTCTCCTTTTGCCCTTATGTTTGCTCCAATCAACCAGCACCACCTGGCACTTACCTCCTTGTGAGTTTGGAAGTTAATTTACTAAAAAGATTAGTGGAGCCTCGGCTTCGAGTCTGCGACAACGGTGTGGCTTCATGGGACAGGCTGGGTGAGGCAGGTGGGCCGTTGTACGTGGCAGTGCGCCGCTCCCGGGGCTGACCGTGGAAAGTGCTACGGCTGGCAGTGCCTCTTGGGAATCGGGTTCGATCTGGGGTGGTGGTGCTGCTAATACTGTGTGTTGAAGCAACTGGAGCTCTCTGGTCAGGAACGGTGCTAGGAGATCAGCAAACGACAGATTCTTAGAACTTTGTTCACAAAATCCTGGCTTTGTAGCAAACATGGCACACAAACATTTATAATCATAATATACCTTTGATATAGAGTAGAGATAACCAGTATATAAATCCAGATCCAAGGGGTATTTTATAGGACTTAAGAGCAAAAGGTAAGTTAAACGGCAAAGGGTACCAAAGGAATAGTACACAGTGAAACAACACCTTATGGAGTTGAAGGGAACAATACATACATATTATCAAGGACAAGATTAATGCAAGAAAATTCTAGAACAAAGAACAGCTAACTCAAGCTTCTTTTCCTTTGCTTCCCTCTCAAATTGCTTACATGCAGAGAACCCTGCCAATACAAAAAAAACAAAGGCTATGCAGGTGAAACTGAAGAATAGGCAACTAAAAAGTTTCGGAAGCACAAAAATGGCATAAATATTGTAAAATTCCACATGCTGAAAGCAACTTGGAGAGAAAGGGGAATTTCTTACATCCTTTATAGTATGAAGATGCATGAAGATACAAAGATGACCAGGGACACCATGAGACAGGATGCGCTGAACTAAAACCACACACAGGAAGGACACTTTGTGGACAACTGGAACAAAACCTTAGACTATAATATCCACAGCACAAAATTAAGAAGCAGTGGGTACACATTAGTTTCACAAGGAATGTGCATTTTTCTTACATAGCCTTGAAGTTATCTCCTTCACTGTCTATTGGAGGTAACATCATCTTGGGGTGCCCAGAGGCTGACATGGACATCGACTTCTGATGTCTCAGCCGACAGGTGGAAGATGTCTTACAAACAGAGGCAGGGCTAGCTGCGTAAGCGAACATTTCTGTCAGGCTGGGAGGGGGTTTGGGTTCAGGCAGAGGCAGAAACAACAGTATGATGGACCAGTGACAAAAAGAGCAACCTGTTGTTCAAAGCACATTACCTTCCTCCCCAAACCATCTCATTTCTGTCAAAGAACAAAAATCTCTTAAACTCGTTTTGGGGATTCTGGAGTAATTGCTAATCTGTATCTGCTTTTTAAAAACCAGTAATTTTTAAAAGTTTATTAGCTTTAAAGAAAAGAAAGTAACACTGTACATGTTTGAATATTTATGTGAGAGTGATGAAGATCTCCGAGCTGTGTGTAAAATAAAGCTTATCTTAAAAGATGTCTCCATTCAAATCAAAGCGAATCTGTAATACATATGCTGTGCTCTCAACCTGTTCCCAAAGCAGCGTCATACATTAAATGGACTAGAAAAATTATGGCTGTAGTAGTAACTAGTTGTACTTATCAACTTATCCTATGTTATCAAACCATTCCCACTCAAAGCACACTGACTTCTTTATAAAAAACAATTGCAATTCTTAAGAGGTCAACAAAGCCCCCTTTTTTCAAGGTGGGAAAACTAATAAGAGCAAATTAACTGTTTTTATAGACAGAGAAAGAGTGACACAGTGACCACACACCTGCAGTTCCACCTGGCACAGCTAGCTACAGGACACAGCGACCTAGGGCTTTTCTCATTCTTAATGCCAGCTCAGCCATCATGTCCGTGGAACTTCAAAGGGAACAGTTAAGGATAATCAGGGATTTAGAAGTCTGACCACACTCTTTCAGTGTCTCTCTTCAGAAATCCTCTCAAAGCCTGAAACCCAGAAACCATCAGGTTCTTTCCTTCACGCCTGACATACACAGCAGCTGGATCATCCTGTTGGTGTCACAACCCCTCACAGCACTTCACTGGGCCCCATGCCTCCACACCCGAGGGTCTCTGGGCAGAACTTCATCTCTCTTCCAAGCCCAGACCTCAGCCACCTGTCTTCATTGTTCTCCAAACTCACACTTTCCAGTAGGTCCACCATACAGCTATGAACTTCCTAAAACACACACCTGACTTCGTCCTTGTCGCTTATCTGCTTTTAACCTTGCAAAAGCACACGGCATCTTCAGGATAAAGTTCAGACTCCTCACTCTGGTACCCGAGCCGCATCCTCAGGCGCCCGTCTGGCTGCACCCCTGCCACCTCTTCAGGCTTGACCTTCCACTGTCACTTCCCGGAATTTGACTTTCTGGCCCATCTGATGACCTGCCGTCTCTTGGTCATGCATCAGGTCAAAGAACTTTTGCAGGAGCTAGTCTCTGTGTCTGGAGAGCTGACATCTTTCTCTTTTCATCAGAACTTCACCTCTGAGGTTATCCCCTCCATGAAGGCTTCACCAGTGCCCTCCTCACCCGGAGCTAGTCCTTTCCCTCTGTGTATTCAGTGACGGCACCTGCTATGCACACCCCACTGTACTGCAGTGACTCCTGTCTGATTGTGTGCTCTGGAAACACGGCCTGCAGCCTCAATGTGACCCCACATTGTATGTGCAAGACTATGTGGACAGTTACTTTGCGGTCAGCAGTATGTCTCAGATAGAGCAGGTGCTTAAGAATATTCAATAACTGAAAAGGCACGTTAATGAGGTGAGCCACTGGAATTCCAGCAGGCCCAATATGAAGGAGACACGTCTGTATAATAAACTACTCAAGAAGATCTGCTTGCCCCTCTATCTTTGACAATCCTGCCCTCTGACTTGGGTGAGTGTGACTTTAATACAGTCACAGAACTGTACAATCACCTTATAAAGATAAAAATGGATTTACTTTTTTGTTTCTGACTTTTTTTTTTTCCCCCTTTGGCAGCTGAATTCTGTTTTGGGAGAAATAGGTTCTTGGTCTCCATCTCCCCATGTCGCTGACTCCCCGCTGGATTTTCCCACTATCCTGGCCAGTGACAGATTTAGAGATGGGCAGGCCACAGCCAAACCAACAGCGCCCCAGGGCTTCTGCATGAGCAGAGCTGAGTGTGGGACGATATCAAGGCTGATGTCACTGAGCCCACCAAGCAACTCCTGCAGAAGTAGCAGAACCAAACCCTGACTCTATCCCTGGACTTTTTCAGTTACAAGAATTCACAGATGCCCTTTAATTTAAATTTGTTTGGGCTGATTTTCTGTCACCTCAACATAGAGTCTTAAATGATTCAACTATTTGAAGAAAGGCTTTGTTGTTTTCAACATGCACATACAGACATACGTACACATAGAAACATACACTTTTACTTTACTAAGTTACAGATAAATAACTTTACCAGCTGAGCCACCAGGGAAGTCCTACAGAAAAATGCAACTGTCCTTTGTGCTCTATTATCTGTTCAGAGCAGGTCAAGGGTCAACATGCTTTATTCCCCTACCCAGCATCTGACATTCTCTTGCCCAAATTAGGACCTAGGATCAGTAAGTGCATTAAAAAAAAGCAGGGGAAGAAGAGGTGGTAGGGGTTACCTGGCATGTTCCCTGGAGAATATATAAATGGTCCCAAAGACTCAGATGAGGAAATGGCTTTTAGTCAGAATCCTGAACAGGGAGAGGCTCAGTCTATTCGCCCTGAGCTATCCCCCTGGTTGGAGGGCGCAGGCAAGACTATGTGAACAGGTACTTTGCAGCAAAAAACTGACCCTCCTTAGAGTCAGAGACCCTTTAAGGAAGTGCAAATTGATATATTCATTATAAATTATTCAATTTTTTCCATAATCTTACAAGCAATGAAAAGAATTATTTCTCTAGAAATTTAATCATGTCATATCACGAGTTCCAAAAAGGAAGCAACAAAACAGATTTTTTTTTTTTAAAACTCTCAAAGCAGGTCTCAATTTAGGAATCAGTAAACTCAAGAAATGTTTGTGGAATTTCATGTTTGTACCAACTCACAAAAGTTCTATTTACAACAAACAATCCCAACTCACAATGGGCTGCATCAAGTTGGTTGTTGTGAAAGCTGGACAAAATTTTTTCCTCAGAAATGTGGCAAATAGGATGGTTATACTCCACAGACTATCCCACAAAAATTTACACAAACAAAACAGTGGTTGCATCATATTTTTAGCAGTTCTGGGTCCAAGGAAAAAAACCATTATTTAAACCTTAACTTAAAGAAATAGCACTGTTTCTTAAAATTCAAACTGTGTGATGTTCCTATTGATCTTTTGACTTTATATCTAAATATGTCTGGTATAACTTTTATTCTGTATTGGAACATTCCAATATGAAACATTTTGGCTGCTGATGCAAAGCATACTCAGTGATTGGGCAAAAGCAGAATTAAAAACATAATCCAAAGATACATGTGTTAACTGTGACAAAACCTTTTTTGTTCATCTAATTTTTATTAGCCGTGATCATTCTTATGTTGGAATTCTGTAACAACACTCACATATTTAAGAAAAAAGTCGAACATACTAAAGGATAAAATAGGAATTCATGTCTTTCTTCCAGAAGTTAACATAGATCCAGGCATCCTGTACCTCACTAGTATTTTAGTCAAAGAATAAGATATGTGTGTGTGTGTGTATCTATAGGAGAGGAAAAAGCAACAATCTGCCAAAGAAGTCATCTGTGCACAGAGAAGGCTCTGTGAATAATTTATCACTCAAACATCTATTTTAAGGGTGAAAAAGTAATCAAATTTAATGTCTTCCTTAACTGAATGTAAAAAAAAAAAATATGACCACTAGTTTGGCACTCAAACCTCCAATATTTTTCCATACTTTTTCAATTCATTTATAAGATACAAAAACAAAATCCAGGTATTATTAAAGTTATGGGCCCCGTTTTGTGTGGCGGGAGGCTGTTTAACTAAAGATAAAGACAATACTTTCAGAAGGAGAGCACTTAAATAACTGATGCCAACAGAGCAACGAGGCCCAGGTGGGGATAAAGAGGGGGCAGCCCCACTGAGGAAGGTATCTGCAGGTAGAAACCAGGTAATGACTCCAAAGAAATCAAGAGCATTCTTAAAACTGTTTCTAAAGAGTGGACTGTGTGGCCGCAGGAGACGAGAACTAGAGGAGCTACGCACACAGACACAAACCGAGGGAGCGGAGAGATGGCGGTCTGAACAGCCTTGCAAAGAAAAGTCTGACTCTGTACCTCAGAGAACCGTATATTCTAAAGTTCAAGAGGAATCTGAGAGAACAGTTCAACAATTTAGAAGAATTTTTAAAAAACAACAGTCATGAAAACAACATTCTTCTCGTTCTACAGATTAAAATTCTTAACAGAAAAAAAAAAATAAATAAAAATAAAATTCTTAACAGAAATGTCTGGGAACTCCCTGGTGATCCAGGGGTTAGGCCTCGGCGCTATCACTGCAGGGACCCAGGATCAATCCCTGGTCAGGGAACTAAGAATTAAGATCCTGTGGAGCCAAAAGAAAAAGAAAGAAACTTCTAATTAAGTCTTCTATTGGTGTCTCCTACTCAGTCACCTGAACTACAAGCAATTTGATATATTTGAGAAAGCAATTGCAATAAAAGAAAATTTACCAAAGAACAGACTACTATTAAAAAAATAAACATACCAATCATTAATCTGTAAGTTATCTAGCCCAGTGGCTCTACTCATGTTATTAGGAGAGAACAAGCATAGACAAGATTCAAAGACAGAATATCAAGATGTAAATATTTCTAAAAAGTCACTGAAAAAAAATGAATGAATGAAATCTCACAGAACAAGCTTTTCCCTTCATGTCAATTCAAACATAAGTGGTCTGTGGAATGACAAAATAGTCTGGTTTAAAGGATGAAAAATGATAGAATTTTTGTTTATAGGTTGTTATAGAAGTTAGTGATCATACATTTCATTTGACTGGTGAGATCTAAGGAAAAAGAAACTTTACAGTGTAATTTCAGAAAGTAAATGTCAGAAAAAGAAGAAAAACAATTTTGATGCTACACATGACAATGTGCTATGACCAAATAATGTTCAAGTTGAGAGGCCAGGGGACAGTGAAAGATGATGTGAATTTATTTTATGGATTTCTATTTCAGAACTTTTCTGCTCACTTTACCTCATCATTCTGAATTTAGTTTTATGCTACTCTTCCAAAACAAAAGGAAAACCAGGCCCATTTGAGAAATATTTTCTATATAGAATATATTTAACTACTCTACCAAGCCAACTTTTTCTTCTCTTTTCTCTCTATCCAAACTGAACTCTACTGTATGGTTTCTGGATCTACTTAATCCCACTTTTTTAGTTCTTATTTTGAAACCCCTAGAAAGGGGTCTGTATGATCTGACTCCTTACTGATATATTACTGTTAGTATTTAAAAATCATGCTTATTCAATGTAAGATTTCCTCTCTACCAGATTAAAATCATTGAGAAGACTGAACTCTCCATTTCTCTGGATATTCAAGTGTGTCTCTTTTAAGGTGAAGACCACTTTTAAAGTGTTTTGTCTGCCTGGCCCTCTAGCACACTGCTGACCTATAATTGACGGCCCACCCACCCCATCTGGGGCTCCATGTCCCTGAGGCATGGCTCCCTGTCTCAGGTCATCATCCTTCCCCGCTTCCAGTCTTGGTTCAAGATATTCACGTGCACAAAGCAATCTCCATTTCCCTGTTCATAATTCTACAATTAAAGCATAGCTTACCACCTATTTCATCTGGGAAAGCTCTCTGGTTTAACTCAACCCTTCCAATCATCACACCCAGCTGGCTAAGAGAATAAGCTCTGGACCAGGAGAGGAATTTGGAATTCTAGGATCTCACCAGAACTGCATTTAAATTTAACTTACCATTAGAGAATACTTACCACTATTATTTGAATTTTGATTATAAAAATTAAGTAGTAAATATCATCCTTCCATTTCTTTTGGGAAAAACACATTTTCTTGCAAACAGGTAAAATTTCATACCTGTTTTCTTTGCCATTCTGAATTACTGAATGTCTATCAGCTGTGGTTCTTTCACTGCAAACGTAAGTATTCCGTCGCGTCATTCCACCAGATGCCGTATTACTCTATTAAAAAAAAAGGGCATTTCGGTCTTAAACAATTTAGTAAGTATAATACAGCAGGGAAAAAAAAAACCCCATGTAAATAAACATGAGTACTTAGTCTTTAAATAAAGCTGAATTATTAACGGGCTTCCCAGGTGGCTCAGTGGTAAAGAACCCACGTGCCAATGCAGGAGATCAGGTTTGAGAAGGCCCCCTGGAGCAGGAAACGGCACCCACTCCAGTGTTCTTGCCTGGGAATCCCACTGACGAGGGGCCTCGAGGGCTGCAGTCCACGGGGCCACAGAAGAGCCGACATGACTTAGCCACTACAGAACAGCAAAGTGTTAACAGCACTGGGCACTGGATCAGAAAAGACGACGAAGGCAGCAACCTCTACCCTCTTTCCTACCTTCCATTATTTCTGCAACAGTGAAAAATGGCTATGGCAAAGTGACTCTGAAAAGCTGGCTACAATAATCTGTAAAGTAATAACTCATGGATTATTTAAAATGAAGCAGGAAGACAGAGAAATTCACTTTTTAAAAGGTAGTCATTTCAAACTGAGACATTAAAAAGCAAGGATTATAAATATACAAATGAAACAAAAATAAAAAAATATCAGAATTAAAACTGCAAAACTATTAGCAAAAAAACCAAAAAATAAATATAACAGATAAATCTGCATAATCCTGGATTTGACAAGAGATTCTGATGTGTCACACACAGGGCAAAGGACAGAATAGACATTTTTCCAATGAAGGCATACTAATGGCCAATAAACATATGCAAGATGCTTAATATCACTGGTCATTTAGAAAATGCAAATCAAATCCACAATGAGATACCACTTCACACCCACTAGGAGAGCTACAATTAAAAAAAAACCAAAAACTAGAAAATAACAAATGGGGCAAGAGTGTGGAGAAACAAGGACGTGACTGTGTGAGGATGTGAAGGAGTGCAGCTGTGGTGCACACACTGGTACACAAACGCTGACAGCAACCAGAGGGGAGGAGCACATTACATGTCCCTCGACAGATAGGGAGATAAACTGCGGCATATAAAAAGGAATCAATTCATCCAACAACTTGGATGAAACTTGAAAATATGGTGAGTGAAAGAAGTCAGACACAAAAGGCTATGTAAGTGCACTTATATGAAATGTCCAAAAGAGGCAAATCTACTGGGAGAGAATGAGGTCAGTGGCTGCAGGGGCTGGAGAAGGGAGGACTGGGGAGGAACTTCTTAGTGAACACAGGGCGTTCTGTGGTGTCTGGGAACTAGAGAGGGAGAGGCTGCACACGCACCAGACGTGCTGAATAAACGCTTCAAATGGTTAACTGTATGGACGTGAACTTGACGTGAACTTCACATCAATTTTGAAAAGTTAATATTTTCAAAATTTAAAAAAAAAGAGAAACAAAAGTCACATCACAACTTTTATCAGATAATTTTAAGAAAAGATTAAAAGCAGCCACCTTCACCACGGCATGAGCAGGTCACATATAAGGAAACTTTGAAGACAAATGGGAGAAAATTAAAGCAACATACTTTTTTCCTTTATAAATAAATATGAGTGGCTAATAATGCTTGGGATATATTTTCAAAAGGGGAATGTGCTGATGAGTAGAGCCAAGGAACAGAAGTTATGAAGGCAAGGAACAAGTTTCTTTAAGGCTGGATTTAAACTGCAAGGCTATGGAATGACGACTGAAGTCGAAATAAAAAGCCTTTCCAGACAGCGTTTATTCTGAAGAAGCAGAAGGTCAGCGGACAGAGCAGACAAGACTCTTTGGGTTCCTGTGTAAGCCCTTCCCCAGAACAGGACAAGGGAGCTGTGCCTTGACAAAGTGCCGCCTCCTGACTCTGGGGTTTCCTTAGGGTTGAAGGAGGCTGTGTCACTGTTAACTTTCAGGGAAAATGTGATTACAGAATATCCTTAAAACTGTTCATTCTCTGCAAATTCTTATCAAAATCACTTTTGGGGTCTTCCAATTATAAAATAAATAAGTCATGGGGATGCAATATACAGCATGGTGACTATAGTTAGTAACACTGTATATTTGGAAGTTGTTAAGAGAGTAAACCTAAGAAGTTCTCATCACAAGTAAAAAAAAATTCTGTACAGTGCTAAGAAGAGTGATTATTTTTTTAGCTCAGAGAGAACGCATTTCAATCCATGAAAAGTTTCTGAAACTGAACAGATTCAATGTAACAAACACTACCTACTCTCGAGGGAGATTTTGTTAGGTGCAGGAATTAGGAGATTTAGGTCAGTAGTGTAATTTTGGACAACTACCTAACTTTTCTTCAATTTCTTCACCTTAAGATTTAGCTGATACCTGGAAAAGCACTCGGCAGGGTCCCTGGCACAAGGTTAGGACTCAGTCAATGTTCTGTATTGATAGAGCCCTCTGACATGCTGGGCAAACACCATGTTCCTGTCTTGCAGTTAGTCAGGCTGTGACCACCTGTCTGCACTGTCACCACTGGTTTTATTTATTTTCTGTCAGACTATGCGGCCTTTCCATCTCTCAGACGTTTTTGGAGTAACTAGAAACAGCCCTTGACATGAAGGAGCTCATCCAGTGGGATGGAGTGTAATAAGAAACATCAGCAACAGAGCTAGTGATCCCAACAGGGTGACAACGTACACAGGGGCCCAGGGGGCAGGGCTCGGTAGGCAGATAAGAACAGAGGAGCAAAATGCTGTGTCATTTCAATCCTACAATCCTAGGCAGGCTCTATAGCGCAACAACTTACACTAGGGACAGTGGAGCTCTTCTTCCGTTCAGGGATATCCGCCTTGTTGGGGTTACTTGCATTCCCAAGCATGGGACTGGCTGGAGCAATCCCCTTTCCTCCAACAACACTGGCGCCTGGTTTCCGGGAGGGAACTCCGTCTTCTTTGAGGTCACTGTCTGTAGTGCTGGTCTGACTCCTTTTTGGATATGCCACAACTGAAGGAATAGCTGGTCCAGCTAAAATAAAAAATTCACTTTTTAAAAGTCAGAATATTTTATATTCTGAATATTTTTAAAGTTTTATATTTTACCTTATGAAAATAAACTTTATAAGATGATCCAAGATTTCTATTCATCTAATATGAAACAGTGAAATCTTCTAAGATGATTCCTATCCACGTATGCTTTCCCTATGCAATGAATTCAATTTTAAAATTTTACTTACTAGTCCCCAACTTTCTAAAAGTGTTTTTTTTTTTTTAATTAGTAAGCTTATATAGTTCTCCTGAGACATCTTCACAAGGTGTTCCTGGACAGATAAGTATTTACACACATCATGCAGAATAACTGCTTCACCTGGTACATTTGAGTGAATCTCATCCTTTTTGTACAAGAGATGCCTTCACCTTTTGGAAAAGAACAGTACAGATTTACAGGCCATTTCTTTGGACACTTTATCTTGCATCTTTTTTAAAGCACTCACACTCTTCTAGATGAACAGGAATCTGAGGAGATGAGGGAAGGCAGTACAAGCAGAGGAAAGCATGTTCCTCACGCAAGTGACTGAGAGGGCGTGGGGGGCGGGACGCTGCAGCTCACATCTGCTCCCAGGAGGGTGCGCAGGGACATCCCGGGCGGCAAGTAACTGCTATCTTGTAAGAAATCATCTAGAGACTGTGATGACACAGGAGATCTGGAGTTCAAAGAATTTTGGAAATGAACAAGATAACTTGCATGTTCATTATATACAACGTCCAGTGGTAATCTTAAGAAACAGCACCAAATGATCAACATTTATGTTGAGAAAAGATTTTATATACTTGGGTCTGTTAAAAAAATGGATGGAAGGGGAAGGGAGGGACTATGAGTTTGAGTCGTAGTCCTATGACTATACATACAGAATGGGTAAAAACAAGGTCTTACTGACATAAACCACAGCAGGATCCTCTATGACCCACATCCCAGAATTTTAGAAACAAAAACAAAAAAAAACAAATGGGACCTAATGAAACTTAAAAGCTTTTGCACAACAAAGGAAACTATAAGCAAGGTGAAAAGACAGCCCTCAGATTGGGAGAAAATAATAGCAAACGAAGCAACAGACAAAGGATTAATCTCAAAAATATACAAGCAACTCCTCCAGCTCAACTCCAGAAAAATAAATGACCCAATCAAAAAATGGGCCAAAGAACTAAACAGACATTTCTCCAAGGAAGACATACAGATGGCTAACAAACACATGAAAAGATGCTCAACATCACTCATTATCAGAGAAATGCAAATCAAAACCACAGTGAGGTACCATTACACGCCAGTCAGGATGGCTGCTATCCAAAAGTCTACAAGCAATAAATGCTGGAGAAGGTGTGGAGAAAAGGGAACCCTCTTACACTATAGGTGGGAATGCAAATTAGTACAGCCACTATGGAAAACAGTGTGGAGATTTCTTAAAAAGCTGGAAATAGAACTGCCGTATGACCCAGCAATCCCACTTCTGGGCATACACACCAAGGAAACCAGATCTGAAAGAGACACGTGCACCCCAATGTTCATAGTAAAGGGCATTACTAATCCAGACAGATTCTGCTTAAGGAAGAATGAACTTACTAAGACAGTTATTAGGGACATGAGAAAACTAATACCAGGTTTCTTCCAGGATTTAGGAACAATTCCCTTTAAACTGGTTGATTCAGAGCAACACGTAGGCATTTTGCTAACTGCTCTGTATGTAGCACACAGAAAAACCCTTCCTTGCTAGCAAACTAATAAGAACACAAAAGACTGAGACCCAGATCAACACTTGCTTTACAAATGCCATCTGTAAAATTTTGGCATCAGATAGGCTCTGAGCGCTCAGTTACACCCTGGAAAACAGCAGATGTGCAGACAGCTTACTGACAGCGTCAGTACAATGTGCTGCTTCAGCCTAAACCACATAGAGGCATTGGCAGCAGGAAGAGAAATGGAAACCAAGCAAAGGGTCATCACTTTTGGTACAGAACCGAAGCTGTAGACACCTGGAATACTCTGTACAGTTCTAAGCACCAACTCTCAAGGTGGAAGAAAACAGGAGGACAAAATCCAGGGAAGGGAAGTGACCTGAACAAAGAAATGAAAGAGGATTCCACGTTCCAAGTCAGGACTAGACCAACATAAATTTGTGCACTGGAATTAAAGGAATTAACACGTGAATAAATGCACATCTGCTAGAGTCTCTGGATTACAACAAACGGGGCTGCCTTGAAGGCAGAATAATTGTCACGTTTGGTAAGCATCCTTTTGGGTCCTACGTCTCATGGAAGATTCACTCTATGGTGAAAATGTAAGAGTGAGGTGTTTAGACACATGGACAGTTAAGAGTGTGGGTCGAGAATGACATGAGTCAAAAATTTAAACCAATTAAGGCAAAACTGGTGTACTATACATTTTCCAGGGCTGTGCTGTCCATTGTGGTAGCCACTGGCCACACGTGGCTTTATAAATTTAACTTCGACAAAACTGAAAATCACCTTCTCAGTTCAAGTGCTTGACAAAGTCCCATGTGGCTCAGGTTTCTACCCAGCCAGGCCTTAGTCAACCCAAGACTACTGGGTGTACCAAGGAGATCAGAGCCTGCAGCGCCTGCAGGACTGCTGTGCAAGAAATGCTAAGAAGGGCAATCAAGCAACTTTAACCCCAGGAGGCCATAAGCAAAAGGATGCCTGGCAATGTCAGGAGGCCTCTTGGTTAAAGGGAGGCCTGGAACACGCTGGAATGATCTCAAACTTACTTACCGTGGTCACTGTAACGCCTCTGCTTCTGGCTTGAAGAGACACTTCTCTGCACTTTGTGGTGAGGAGACTGGCCAGTACTGTTGTTGAGGTCACTGCTTGGCCTAACCTTAGCAAGTGAAAGATTGCTGCTAGAACTGGAATCACTAGCATCCAGCTAAGAGAAAATGAGAAAAACAGAGCAAACCACAACACGAGCCCAAATGGTTTATCATGAAACTAAACTTCTCATAATACACAAACCTCTTACAAACTGTTCATTTAGGGAGAAAAACCACAGTGTACAAAAAACACAAGCCTAAACTCAGGCACAAGTATTTTTCTGACCACTGGAAAAATTCACACAAGAATAGATATTTATGTTCTTCTAGGCTTTTCCAAAAAACTAAAAATTCTCTATTTCATCTGATACTTTGCACCATTTAAAAACTATTACTGACTACACAGGTTAACAAAAGCCAAGTTATTAAAGGTTATTATCTTAAAGCTAAAATAGTAACTCATAATAGTCATAGGAGTTCGATCAGTCATTTGAAGGTAAATTTAAAAATATTATCAATGTTATGCACAATAAAAAACCCCAAAACTAATTATTACATGAGCTAATAATTCGCAAAAAGGATATTACACATTTTTATCTGGTTATACTTACCTCTGAAGATTTTCTCCCCAACAATAAATATGTAGCTGTGATTTCATCATATTTCATCTTACTAAGAGATTCTTGAATTTCTTCTTGTGTATATCCCATTCCCACCATAATATCTAAAAGAAGGACATAATACAGTTTACGGGTTTCCTTTGGTTAAGAAATCATTACATTAGAGCGTAAACTAATTTCCTTTATTTGACCGAAAAGATCACACATTGTTCTAACATAGATAGGCAGCTGGCTTATTTCTGAGTTACTGAGTACTATTACTGGGCCTGCAGATAACTTCCTAAATATGACAAAACATATTAGCTGCTTCACGTAACCTAACTTATCCCCATTATTATTCCTGTTTTGGAGGGTTGTGTCCAACTCTTGTGATCCCATGGACTGTAGCCCACCAGGCTCCTCTGTCCATGGGATTTTCCAGGCAGGAATAGTGGAGCAATTTGCCATTTCCTTCTCCAGGGGATCTTCCCAATCCAGGGACTGAACCTGGGTCTCCCGCACTGCAGGCAGATTCTTTACCGACTGAGCTACCAGGGAAGCCCATTCCCGTTTTAGGTGTATACATATAAATGAAGGGACAAGTATGTTACTTGCACACACACCAGCATGCAGGCACAGAGTAATTACCTATTCTTTTCTGGTCTGAGATGTCCAGTTCTGGTTCAACAAATGGTTTCAGCTCATCATCCTCATGCCCTGCATTGATCCACCTGTCCTTCATGATTTGCTGAAAGGTGAACTGTGTCGTTAGCAGTATAAATGAAGCATTCTGATAATCACAATATTTAGGGAAATTTATTCTCAACATTTTATCAATTATGGTTCAAAGGATAACTTTTTAAAAATGTCTCAATCTTGCTTAAAAAAAAAACAAAAAACCCAGGATAGTATTCAATACGTCATACAAATTAAGCAAAATTCTAAAAATACTTTCAAAGACTCTCCAAAGTTGTTCTTCATTTCCACTTATGTTATTACCTCTAGAGTGCCTCGTTTTATTGGATTTAGCACCAGGAAACGTTTGAGAAGGTTTTCACAGTCTGTGGACATGTAGAAAGGGATTCTGTATTTCCCTCTTAATACTCGCTCTCTCAGTTCCTTTGGGGAGGTAGAGAGGAAAGAAAACTACTAAGTCAACTTTTAGGTTAAAAAAGAACCCAACTCCCCCACTGAAACAACACTGACACGTTAACTCTGATCATTTGATAAAATCCTTTAAGCTTTCTGAAGAACAAGGATGCAACTGCTTCATATACCTTTAGGTTCTGCCCATCAAAGGGGAGCGACCCGCTGACTAGAGTGTAAAGAATGACGCCGAGGCTCCACACGTCCACTTCCGGCCCGTCGTATTTCTTGCCCTGGAAGAGCTCTGGGGCCGCATATGGAGGACTGCCACAAAACGTATCCAGTTTACTGCCAACAGTAAATTCATTGCTAAAACCAAAGTCAGCTATTTTAATGTTCATATCAGCATCTAACAATAGATTTTCAGCCTAGAGGGAAAACATCAAGACAAAAATGAAATTTAACAAAAAAATATAATGAACTGTGATAGAATTAGGCATTTCATAAAAGCTTTTTGTAATGATATAAACTTAATATATCCTAATGAGTAAGAAAACATTCTTTCTAGAGAGAAAAAAAAAGGAGATAATTCAGAAGACTTAATGTTCTGGCATTAACAACCAATAAGAGGTTTAAGATGCAGTGGTCCCTCGGTCTCTGAGGGCACCGGCTCGGACCCCGTGGACACCATCCTCCACCATCATATAAAACAGTTCAGTCAGCCAGCCTTCCTAAGACACAGATGGAGAACCTGGGGATATGGGGGCCCAAGTGTATAGATCAATTCCAGCACCAATTTAAACAGCAAATGTTCATGACAAAACAGTATTGGAAGAGCTTTTTCAGCTAAGAATAAGGGGCTTTTAAAAAACATATCCTTCTAAGTACCCTTTTAAGTGGACAGTCACATTTCACAAGAACTGCTAAATAAGGTGTTTAATGGCTATTACTGAGAAGAGGGGCATCTTAAACTTCATTTAAGACAGAGATCACAGTCATGACTGCTTGTCTTAACAGACATTTTATCACGTGGCAATCATACACCAGGTGTTATATTAGTGTCTGGATGCACAGACAGACAGGGTCCCGCCCTCAGAAAGCTCACAGTTTACAAACAGAGGGGAGGAAAAACCTGCAGCTATACTCTGGGACCTCAGTACCGTGACCGAGAAGAGAGGAGTGGTGGGCCCGGCACTGAAAGGTATGGTCTGGCTCCCTAACTGGATGGAACTGAAAGCACTGCGAGGATTAGGTGATGGCAGTGGGTGGGTCAACAAGAGGGATTTCAAGCAGAATAACAGTCTGAAAACCCAGAGGGTGAGAGAGAACACGGTTTGCTCAAGAAACTGAAAGGCGTACGGTAGAGAGGACTAGAGGGCTGGGGACATGCTACGGCTGAATTAAAAATGGCAAGTTGAGCGATTTGTATTCAGGAAGTTTAGCTTTTTATACTAAGGGCAATGGGAAGCCACTGAAAAGTCATTCAAGCAGGGAAATGACAAGTTTTATTTGTGTGTGTGTGTGTGTGATTTTTAAAAAAACATTTACTTATTTGGTTGTACTGGGTCTTAGTTGCAGCATGTGGGATCTAGTTCCCCAACCAGGGATCAAACCTGGGCCCCCAACGCAGGGGGCCCAGAGTCTTAGCCACTGGACCTCTAGGGAAGTTCCATGACAATTTTATTTGTGTTTTTAAAGGACCATTCTGGTTGCAATGTAGGAAACAGACATGGAAGAAAAGAGGCAAAATTGGAAGCAGGGAGGACCAGGCAAGAGGCTAGTGTAGTAATCCGGTCCCAGATGCCAGTGGACTGGAAATGGACAATGCGAGTGGGGACGGAGAAGAGCAAGCTCAGTAACACGCAGGGAACAGCAGCAGAGACCTGGGGACCGAGTGGGTGTCAGAGCAAAGGAGAGAGAGACCCTTGGGGTACATCAGTCACCACAATGAGAAATACAAATTTAAGTTTAGGAAGGAAGGGTTTAGGTATTTAACATGCTCAGTCAAGCTGCCTGAGGGGTGCTGAGGAGGTGTCCTTTGCCAGCTGGACACTGAGTCCTGGAAGAGAGCTCTGGACGCAGGAACAGAGCTGGGGGTTAGCAAACCAGAGGTGACGGGAGTGAACGTGAATGCGGCAAGGGTGGGTGAGAACAAGCAGATCAGTAAATTACAGTTATGAGGAGAGAGAGGAAGTCATGACCAAGTTAAGAAAGAATCTAGACAATGTTTAGAGAAAAATGGTTGTGAAGGTGAAGAGAATAAAAGGGTATATCGGGAAGAACAACTGGGGTGGGAGGTTCACAGGCAGAAGGGGTGTGGATGTAAGCACGTTTTATACATGGTGCTAGTGAGGCACCAGCAGAGACAGGAGGAGGTGAGGAAGGCGGGGAGGGAAGAGACAGCCACGCACCCTGGGAGGGAGGGACACAGACCCTGAACACCAGGGGGTCAGCACAAGTGCTGTGCTGTCTTGCAACAAGAGGAAAACTCTGAAAGGTCAAGGGTGGATGCAGGTGCAGCTAAGCTGGAGGGCCTGCTGGGAAACAGGGAGTTTCTGCCTGCTGTTTCTATTTTCTCTGTGAAATAGGAAACCTGATCCTATGCCAGGAATGCAGGCAAAGGCGGAGAACCGTGCAGTAGGTCTCAAATAGCCACTGCTGTTAACAGGAGAGAATGCTGACTAGGGAGACAGAAACTGGTGCGGGCAGCACTGAGCATGCTTCCAGGGGAGAGTGTGCATATCTGGGAGCGCTCAGCTGTTTGGTGGTGGGTGATTTTTCTCTAGAGACCAACAATGAGCTGCTTTAACTAAAATGGAAACTAAACCTTAGGATTCTTTTTAAATTTAGTAACACAATCTAATATATCCCTCATTTATGTTGTGAGCAGCAGGAGAACTGAACACACAAGGAAAGCGTACACGAGTAAGGGCACTGTGACTCACCTTGAGGTCTCTGTGAACAATCCGCTTTTGGTGGCAGTACTGGACTGCAGACACGATCTGGACAGGAGAGAGGCAAGGTCATTAATCGTCACTGCTGCAGACTCATGATCAAGATGAAAATACGCCCCTCATGATCACATATGTAAAGCACTCAGTGGGCACTTCAACGGCTGTGTGGATCTCTAAAGATAATGTTCTTATGCTTTATACCTTTCAATCTGGAGAGACTGAGGGGTGAGTGCAAGAAGACCAAGGTGAGGCTGTTCTTTCCAGTTTTAACTATAAAGTCTCCTCTCAGGTCCTGTCCCTCAACATGCTAGTTATTTCTAAGTGTGGTGCCAGGGCTCAGCAAACCAGTGGGACCCAGAGGGCCCTGGGTGCCCAGGGCCCAGAATCAGAAGGCTCTCCATGCCCACATCATCAGCTCAAAACCAAGGCAGCAGTTACGGATCCTCCATACTAGGTGTTTTATCAGGTTGGTTCTCCTTTGCCAGTCTGCTCCTGACAACACGCTCTTCCTTTTGGCTAATGTGGGTTCAAGGACAGCAAAAATGACTTCACCTCTCTAATGATCAGTGCCCTCTTTCTTAAAATGGAAGAATGAATGCTGTAATGTATATGAACTACGAACTATGAAAACTATTATGTGCTTTATCAATAAGAATCCCTCCTACACTTAGCAAATAACATCCTTTCATTCAGCCGACTTTTGATTACTCCTGGGATTAGCACTGCTATTATTACTATCATTTTCAGCTGCACAGTGCAGCTTGTAGGATCCTCGTTTCCCAGCCCAAGGGATTGAACCTCGGCCCTCAGCTGTGACGGTGCTGAGTCCCAAACACTGGACAGCCAGGGAATTCCCTGATTGGCACTGTTAAATAACTGCTCTACAAATTTCACACTTATTACCAACTTTTAAGACTCTTTTTCTAAAACTTTATAAGCTTTAATAAAGTTTTATATGATTATAAAAATTTTAGGAAATACAGAAAGTACATTCAAGAATATGCTTTTATAGCCATCAAACAGAGACGACATTTCCTGTTATTCTGGCATATTTGCTTCAAGTCTTTACTTTGGTATTATGTATGTGTACTTAAATATATATGTACGTACTTATATAAGTACGTACATATATGTATGTACTTAAATATGTATGTACGTACATACAAAACTGGGGGCTATAATGAAAATACTGCTTGTTTCTCCAAATCATCAACTTTCAGTTGTAAGCAATATGCACCTAACTATACTGGACACAAAAACTCAGAAAGGGCTGATCTACTGGTTGATACTGGTTCAAAATAAGCAGTAAGGATAAGGTGGGCTGGGGTTGGGAATGATGCCAGAATCAAGGCTTCACTAAGCAGCTTCCTACTTTATAAAGTGAATACGCAGATCAGACCCACTCACAGTCACCTTCTACTGCTAAGTCACTTCAGTCGTGTCCGACTCTGTGCAATCCCATCCCTGGGATTCTCCAGGCAAGAACACTGGAGTGGGTTGCCATTTCCTTCTCCGATGCATAAAAGTGAAAAGTGAAAGTGAAGCCGCTCAGTCATGTCTGACTCTTCGTGACCCCATGGACTGCAGCCTACCAGGCTCCTCTGTCCATGGGATTTTCCAGGCAAGAGTACTGGAGTGGGGTGCCATTGCCTTCTCCGCACAGTCACCTAGAAGCACACAAATCCCAAGGCCAAGACACCAATTCAAGAGCATCTGTTAGCAACGACGTTGCTCCATTCTGTCAACATGAAAACTGGGAAAGTGACATAGATTTGTTTCCCCAAGTAACAGATTTACTCCTGAGGACACAATTTTATCTTACTTCTGCCTGATCCAATTTTCCCTGTCCCTTCGTCCCCACCCCCCCAGTCAGTCATAGGTTACTTTCAAATTCTACTTTTGAACCAGATTTGACACTTTCCTACCATTTCTCAAAGAGAATTTCTCTTCTTTTACCTCTAAACAGCTCAAATGCCACAACTTGGAAGTACTCAACTTTAAATTAATGCCTTTTCACATTCTTTTAATATAAAAGTAGTTATTTCTATGGAAGGCTGAGAACCTAGGTTGAGTCCCAGGTTAAAATAAGAATGCAAGCCTAATTCACTTCTAGTCACACATGAAAAAGTAGAGGTAACAACACAAGCAACCCACCAAGGAAGGGCGAGGAAAGACGGTGGAGCCAGCAATCTATTCTTCTTTAAGAATAAGAGGTAAGCCATGAAACTGAAACGGCATAAACAGTGACTAGGATGAGCGGGGCGAAGGAGGCGGGAAGAGGAAAGACCATCTGCTGATGAACATGGGAAGAAGGGCCTCCTTCTGACAGAAAGCAGATGAAGCACCATGTACTCTGTGTGTGTGGCATACCTTTGTCTCCACTGTCAACAGGAAAATCTTCTATTTAGTCAAAGTAATGAGGACTTATGTTTCTGGATCCTCCAATAAAACAACAATAACAAAAAACCTTTTGGAAAGTATGGCAATTAGAAAAGTGGAGGAACCAACATCATGCCTGACCTTTCCAGATTTTACATGAGCGAACTTAAGGAAACACTATGGCAAGGAGAAAAGATTACATTAATTATAAGCACTGTAAATCAAGTCATTAACTGTAAAAGCACATAAACTATCTTTCCTAGACCAACTAATAGATTCCTCAACTACATGCTTCATAATTTGTGCTGGAAATCTTTAAGATAAAAAGTTGTGTGACAGGACTTCCCTGGCACAGTGGGTGGGAATCTGCCTGCCAATATAGAAGACACAGGTTCCATCACCGGTCCGGGAAAATCCCACATGCTGTGGAGCAATTAAGCTCCTGCGCCACAACTACTGAGACGGCAAGCCTGCAGCCTGTGCTCTGCAAAGCAGCAGCCCGAGCGCCACGAGGAAGAGAAGCCCCGTTCACCACAACTAGAGAAGGCAAGCCCAAGCAAAGCAATGAAGACCCAGCATGGTCAAAAAAATAAAAAAGTGATAAATGTCCAAGTCCTCTTGACAAGTCAGATCCTACCTGGGAGATGGGTAGAGGAGGAAGAAGAGAGGAGCCAGAGATCTAAGCACCACACTGCTTCCCTGGAGAAGGTCCAGGCTCACATCTGATATGAGGGCTGGCAGGAGCCCTTTCCTCACAGTCAATAAATCACACTCACATAAACACTTGCAAGTCACACTCATCTGAGCGGGAAGGAATTCCAGTTTTATGAGGCAAAAAAATCTTGATTTTCAGGTGGCAAATTTATAAAAATTAAGAGTATAGATATGGAAAGGGCCAAACAGGCTGTTTTGTAACAAAGAGAAATTTGAGCTCCCTTCCATAGACCACAGAATAAAGTGATATCAAAACTGGAAAGGACTTCAGAATTAATCAAGTAAAACTTCCTCTTTTTATAGCTAGAAAAACTGAGGATCAGAAAAGTTAAATGATGGTCAAAGTCTGATATGTAACAGGTTTTAATTCAAAGTATCATTAGGATGTCTTAAGATTTTAAAAGTAAATTTAAGCAACAGCAAAAGTTAAGACACTTATTTATAAGTCCTTAACTGTAAACACTAGACTAAGCAAATAAAAATCTTGAAAATCAGTTAAACCTGCTTTTATAAATACTGTGAAACCCTTAAAGACTCCTACCCATACTTCCACTTTAACAACCTTACATGTGAATAAAACAAATTTAAGTTTCTGAAAGAAATGAGGCTATACTGCTATTTACATACAGAACTTCAAACTATGGGAGGATAGTTTAAAAGTAATAAGGTACCTGCTCCTTCCTTTTATCTGAATCTGAGGTGGGCAATTATGGCCTGTAGGCTGAATATGGCCCACCACTCGTTTTTGCCAAAAAAGTATTGTTGGCAACACAATCATATGAGTGTATTCATCCAGATGTTGTTGTCTAAGCTGCTTCTATGCTACAACAGCAGAATTAAATAGTTGCGAAAGACTGTATGGCTTATAAACCCTAAAATTTACTATCTGGCACTTTACAGAAAGAGTTTGCTGATGCCTACTCTAAGTAAGACCACACCATAACTGTTAAAAATTTTAGTTTGGAATCACAGGTCCTGACTCTGAACCAATGGAAGGTCTGCTATTTGCCAGGCATCACATTTTGGGCAAATTATATAATCTTCCTGTGCCTCAGTTTCCTTATCTTTAACAAATTAGCACAATGATCTTTTGGGTTTCCCTGGTGGCTCAGAGGTTAAAGCATCTGCCTGCAATGCAGGAGACCCGGGTCAGTCCCTGGGTCGGGAAGATCCGCTGGACAAAGAAATGGCAACCCACTCCAGTATTCTTGCCAGGGGAATCCCATGGACAGAGGAGCCTGGTGGGCCACAGTCCATGGGGCTGCAAAGAGTTGGAAACGAACTGAGTGACTTCACTTAGTAACGATGATCTTTACTCACAAGGCTGCTGCAAGATTTACATTAATGGAGGTAAAGGACTTCATCCAATATTAGCGGATAAGGATCAATCAATAGTTACCTTTATTAGAGACTTAGATCACATTTATGCTCAAAACCTATGTATTAAAATCAGTCTCTTTAAGGCAATGGGCAGAGACAAAACAAGAAGATAAGTCGTTAATTCACAGGTTACGTTCTGTTTGGTTCTGGCTTATGTAAGACAAAACCAATAATGAATTTTTAGATTGTAACACTTTTTGCTAAAAATTGAAAACCGTTTTAATTAATGCAATCACAAATGCTCAAAGACTCATTTTTTAAGGATCAACTGTCAAAAAACTAAGGTTAAGAGTGGGACTATAATTCCAATTACAAAGCTAGAAATAGAACTCATAGCCACCTTTAGCACAGTGCTTTAGGCATGAAAGCACTTAATAAATTAATAAATTTTGTTGCATTGAACTGAATGGCTAACTCCTGCTCCATCCAACAGGCCTTATGATATTTACAGAGGCAAACACTTGGGTGCTTCAGGGTTTTAGCCAGATAATGTTATTTAATCAATAAACTAAACGTGCAACAATCCATACCTGTCTAAATTTAGCTCTTGCTTCTTTTTCCTTCATTCTTCCATGGGCAACCAAATAGTCAAACACTTCACCTATAATTGAGAAAAATAAAAGTAAGCAGAAGTCCTATTTCTGGGCATTAACTTTCCCATAAATTAAAGATGCTTCACTTTTAGCAATGCTGTAATTTTAATTTTTAAAATATAGTTATGAAGATAAACAGAAATATGTGGAATTTGAACTAACCCAGTCTTAACTATAGGACAAGTTTATTGATAAAATCTTTTAAGTTATAGAAAAGCCTTAACATTAAATTCTCATATATTTTAATTATGATACTTTTACTTTAAAGGTTTTGTTTTCAGTATGGTTTGGTAAAAACTTGGAAATGAAAATTGAAAGTTAAAATGGAAATATTATGTGTGTTCAAAGAAGGTGTTTTCACTATAGGATTATGACAAAAAAGCATTTCCTAAATTCATTCATGCAACAAATAATTACTGAGAGTATACTAACTGCTGAGAACTGTTCTTGGCTCTGGGGAAATACACAAGTGAACAAAGTCCTTCTTCTCCTCATGGAGTTTACATTCCAGGAGGGGGTAGACAGATAATAAGCAAATAAATGAATATACAGTGTATCAGATGATAAAACGTACTGTGGAGCAAAATCAGGGGAAAGAAACAGGGTGCGTGCACGTTTGTGTGCGTGCATGTACACACGTAAGCACTGTGCTGACTACTGTAAGGGAGTGCATACTGTAGTCAACAGTCAACTAAAACATTTTGATACTTAAAAAGCTTAGTTTCAGAACTTAAGTATTTCTGAGGAAAAGGTTATTCTGAACTGTACATTGGTATCTCTGACTTTTGAACTTTCAGCCCTAACTCTGAATAAATTTTAATAAATGAGCGTAAATATTTTCAAGTTATTACCGATTGCATCATCTTTTAAAAGGAATTACATATTGTTAATTTACACTACACAATACATTTAACTATGGTGAATTATAAAATTAAATGTCAGTATTTTCTCCAAGAATGCCATTCTATCTGCAGAGTAAAAAAATATGTCAAAACAAGTGGTTAAAAAGTGAAAAAACAAAGATGTGTGCATACCACATGGTACAGTTTTGACTTAAAAAAAAAACTTATGGATTAAACCCAGTAGTTGTACAGTCACACAGATAATGTCAATGTAATTTTAAAATATTTTAGAATTCCAATGCAATATAAACCTGTTAAGAGATTTTGGAGCCATAAAGTCATACTCACAATCACTGTTATAAACCAGACATACAACCCAGATTTCCAACCCCCCTCATTAAAAATGCATGAGCAACCAGGGTAAGTAACTAAATTAAACGTCTCTGCATGATATTATTTACTAGTAGAAAAAACAGCAAACAGTGGGTTCTCCCCACCCATGTCAAGACAGTTCAGAAAGCCCTTGGTTCAGGTCCCGTCACTATAACCAGTGATGAAACCATGGGCACCAGACCAACTTTTCGGAGGTTCATCTGTAAAAACTAGGCAGTTGCCCTGGATGACTTTCTGAGAATCTTTCCAATTGTAAAATTCTATGATTCTATAAAACTGAAAAATAAGAGGCTAGATGGAGAAGGCAATGGCACCCCACTCCAGTACTCTTGCCTGGAAAATCCCATGAACAGAGGAGCCTGGTAGGCTGCAGTCCATGGGGTCACGAAGAGTCAGACAAGACTGAGAGGCTTCACTTTCACTTTTCACTTTTATGCATCAGAGAAGGAAATGGCAACCCACTCCAGTGTTCTTGCCTGGAGAATCCCAGGGATGGGACTGCACAGAGTCGGACACGACTGAAGTGACTTAGCAGTAGCAGGAAGTAGCCAATTTAATGAAATTTTTGTTGTTCAAATTGGCAAACATATCAACAATAAACTGTTGCCTTGCAGACAGAAGGTGCTTTGTTGAGCTGATTTAAACAAACGGCCCAAGCCAACAAACCACCGCTGATCAGTGCTGTTGTAATGTTAAGCAGCGGCATTGAGCCCTCAGAGGAGGACTGTGTGGCCATGTCCACTGAGCAGCTCAGAGACATGCAACTTAAGGTCACACTGCCAGTGAGGGGCATTGGCTAGACTGACTCCATGTTTGTCTTTTCCAGAGCCCGTCCTCTCGGGATGGACACTTCTCCAACACAGAGCAACTGCTATGACCCTGTGACCTAAAATAGATGAAATAGGAAGCCATGACTGACTGACCAATCAGGAGAGGCTATGTGGTATTGGAAGGCTGGGGCTTCAGGCCTGGCAACATGACCACGGGGATATTTCCTAGCCTCCATCTCCTCACTCACTGCCTGGCCACATCATGGATCCATTATGAAAGTCAAAGGAGATCAAGTAAGGAAAAAAAGCACTAGTACACTGTAGAGGCTCCACAAAGGAGAAGATTACGAACTGTAAGATGAGTAGAAAGCACTGGAACGCCATATAGATTTATGGTTCTACAATTAACCTTCAGCTCCTTCCTACTACTCAACTGTGAAGATCCCAACTAAAATCTCAAACCACACACTTAAAATACAAAGCACACAACTAACAATGAATTGCTGCTGCTGCTACTGCTAAGTCGCTTCAGTCGTGTCCAACTCTGCTCGACCCCACAGATGACAACCCACCAGGCTCCTCCGTCCCTGGGATTCTCCAGGCAAGAATACTGGAGTGGGTTGCCATTTCCTTCTCCAATGCATACATGCATGCCAAGTCGCTTCAGTTGTGTCCGACTCTGTGCAACCCTATGGACAGCAGCCCACCAGGCTCCTCTGTCCACAGGATTCTCTAGGCAAGAATACTGGAGTGGGTTGCCATTTCCTTCTCCAAATAATGAATTAGGAGTATGAAAAAGTGGTGTCAGGGGTGTGCCTGCTCTGCCCAGAACAGATTTACAATCTTTTATTTAGTGGTCAACACATCACAATGAGGCTGTGATTCAACTTTCTGTCTCCAGGTTTTACATTCTGGACCAAAGAGCTTGTTAAACAAAATAAAACTCTACTATAATCAAATACAATTAAATCTACACTGTGGAGTTAAACAGAACATATCTCCAGTAGTTTAAAGTTTCATTCATTCAACTCAATTCTTATTTACTCAGAGTCTGCTCTGTGCCAGGCACTGTGTTAGAGGCAGGGAAAAGACAAAGACAAACAACAAAGCTCCTGCCTCCACAACATTCACGCGTGGTCCAAAACCCAGCACAGCCTAGCCATGACCTTAAAATAGGAATCTCTGCAAAAGAGAACAGCTATATACATTCATTTCATAAAAATTTCTACATTTATATATCCTTAGAGGCAAATAATTACTACTCTTTAATCTTGAAGGAAATCTAATTGTATACACTGTGACCACCATTTCTGGCCTTGGGAAACAACAGGCACCACTGACGTAAAAATCTGATAAAGAAATCCATCCAGCATGCAGTACACATTTATTTCAAATAGGCTAATACATTGATGCTTTTGAAAATTCAAGTACTGGAATAAAAAAATGTGTTATAAACAATGGAATATTACTATGCTTTAATAGGGAAGGAAATTTTGACACATGCTACAACATGGATAAACCTTAAGGACATTGTAAGTGACACAGGAAGTCACAAAAAAGACAAATACTGTGTTATTCCACTCATATGAAGTCCCTAGAGTAGTCAAATTCATACAGACAGCAGAATGGTGGTTGTCAGGGGCTGCAAGGAGGGAGGATGGGGAATTATTGTTTAATAGGGACAGTTTCATTTTGGGAAAATGAAAAAGTTCTGGAGATGGATGATGGTATTGGTTAACAATGTGAATGTACTTAATGCCACAGAACTGTACACCTGAAATGGTTAAAATGGTAAACTTTATGTTATACCATAAAAATATCCAACTATTTGCATATAATCAATTAATGATGGTAACAATGAAATGCTTAACAGTAACCCACTGAACTGCTAGCAATCAGCTTTTCTGATTCTCATCCTAGTGTATTATGACTCTGAAGGTTAAATGAAACTCTATCAATTATCCATATGGGCAGTGTGGGTGCATATTCTTCTAAAAGGGAGGGATGAAAGAAAAATAATTTATAAATGCCTTACCTCCACTTGCATACTCCATGATTAGGTAGAGTGTTTTGTCAGTTTCAATGACTTCGAATAACTTCACTACGAGAGGAGAGAAGATACAGGAGAAAAAGAAACAAATGTCTGTATGTACATAACATATACATATAAACTAACTACAAAAAGTTAACTTTTTCCCTATTAATATATGGCCCTCTTAAAAAATGATTTTAGGAAACTTTATATTACAACAGCAGAAAAGATTTTATGAAAACATGGAAGCCCATAACAATAAACATAATTTCTGGGTTCTCAAACACTGTAACTTCAGGATGCACTCAGCAGTTTATCTGCTCTCATTTCATGCTCCTGTAGTCTGTCTGTACCTATCCTACTCCTATATGTTCAAGTTCAATTCACCTGTCATTGTGGCTTTAAGGATACACAGAATTCCACTTGAGACTTTCGTTGCTTAAGAAATTTATCACAATTCTCAGGGAAAAAGATTCCCTTCTTTTTTAACGACGTACGTTTTATTTTTATTTTTATTTGTCTGAGCCACGCAGCATGCAGAATCTTAGTTCTCTCACCAGGGATCTGACCAGGGATCCAACCTGGGCCCTGTCAGTGAGCATGCAGCGTCCTAACCACCAAACTACCAGGGAATTCCTAAGATCACTATCTTCTGTATCTATTTTGTTAATACATATGTTACAATTAAATTCAGCAAAAAGGAGAGCAGTGAGGGAGAATGCTAATCTCTTCTATTGTGGGTTATTTTCTGATGCTTTAATACAGAGTATTAAATCAGATCAGTAGCTTGCACAGATTTTGATGTGTTTGTCAAACTGGTGAATTAAAACTATCACATTTCTAAGATGGCATATGTTCAGGTTGTTAAGAAAAATTATTTAAATAAATTTAAGACATATATGCTGGTAAACCATCAACATATTAATAAATTCTGTAATTCCAATGCAGGGGGAATTCCCTGGCAGTCCAGGGGTTAGGACTCTGTGCTTTCACGGTAGGGGGCCTGGGTTTGATCCCTGGTTGGGAAGCTAAGACCTGGCAAGCCAAAGATAAATTAAAATATAAAATTCCAATGCAAATATTGGCTCTTCTAGGAAAACTATTTTAATCCAATGGGAATTTAAATTTTAGAAATTTGTATTTTCAAAGATATGTCATTTAGTAGTAAGTATAGGGAACTTTAATCAGGGTACCACTTAAGAAAAAACAAAACAAATAGGTTTAAGTGAGCTGGTTCTTGGCAGTGTATTTGTGGTGGGAAGTTGAAATTTGAAATCTAGAGTTGGTTAGCTAACCTCAAACAGCTGAAATAAAATATAAAGGCTTTCTTTTCACTATTATTCCCTTGTTATTTTCTCCAACCATGTCACAGTTCACTGATTCTAAGATATGTATTTTTTCACATTTTAATTAACATCACTGATAAAGGGATAATGGCTTGGTATCATTTTCTTAACAGTACCTGAACACAATAATGCCTTTTAAATGATGGTGGCTCAGATCAGATGAAATAGGGTGTAAGTTTTTTCCATCCTGTGGTTCCATTTTATTTTTCTATTCTTGTGCTTCAAGAAGTCTTGGTAAGATATCCCTAACACCAAAGTTATCACACTCCACTTCCTAGAAATGATTTTGATAGTAAGCTGATACAATTGGTTGTCTTATGAGCTATTTCACTCAAATGTTTTTAGATTGTAGGACCTATTACTATATAAGAAAGTAGTTGTATTATTTTAAAAGATCTGCATTATGCATGGAATCAAAAATTTTCACTGAGGTGTGTACACAGGGTCAGCTTTCATCTTGTTTCTACAACTACGATGAGGGCAGGACCATGACCCACCCTCATCTTTAGACACACCTCACTGCATAAAGCACAGAGGACACAGAAAGCAGGTCTGTACAGTGTAAAACAATTCATGCCAAAAAACTCTATTAGATAGCAAGTGCCATGTATCTTTTTTTTTATGGCTGCATGTGGGATCTTAGTTCTCTGACCTGGGATCGAACCTGTGCCCCCTGCACTGGAAGCATGGAGTCCTAACCACTGGACTGACAGGAAATTCCCTTTATTTTTTAAAATATGTTTCAATACACCATTATTTTCTTAGGAATACAGCTAGAGCAAAAAACACCTTTGAAAACTTTAGCTTACTGTAATTCCTTCTATCTAAAATTTAGGTACAAGTATGACATTTTGATATATTAAAATTTAGAAAATTACAATCTGATTACAGATGTTTCTACTAAATTAAAGCTTTACATTTGAACGTTTAATATCTAATCTTTTAACCTATCTTTAGCAATTTCAAAAAGTTAACAGAAATGATCAACTATACACACACACACACACACACATATTCTAAAAGTGTACCTGGAATGGGAGAAGGGAAGAAATCTCCTGTCACTTCTGGAATATATGTTTAGCTTTATGAAAAAGTTTCAAGAATGCATTTAGACCCAAAAGTATTTAAGAAAGCAGAAAGTACCTATGTTTGGATGATTTAAAATCTTCATTATTCTCACTTCTCTGAAGAGCTAAAAAACAAACACACACACAATCCCCCCAACACAGGTTATTAAACATTATATTCCACAGTAGCAATGTAAATTAAATTTTTCTCTTAGATAACTGATTCACTGATAATGTTTAGTAGTCCACATCTAAGACATGGAAATCCAGGGTAATTATGATGTAGTTTTGTTGTCTAATACTAAATGCGTCAATTTTAATGCTCCGATACTAATGCGTCAATTTTATCGTATGAAAAAGCAGAGTTCCTGGAGGAGGAGGAGATTTTGCTATTGTGAATTATACTTTGAATTATATTTTGCTATCTTGAACACAGAAATCAGATTTAAGCAGGAGTAGTTTGTTATTAGACTTAGTCCGATTCAGTATCTATCGAGGAATTGTAATTCTGCAAATAAAATCTTGTACAGTCCCAATGAACTGCATCTTGAGTGTATTAGATTGATAATTCCAAGTAATTCTATAAGGCTTTAAATAAAACCACTTCAAGTGGTTTTATTTAACTGCCTAGCCATCACACAGAATAAGGCAGAATATTAAACTGTTGCTGTACAACATGCTGTGAATTCAGAGGCGGGTCACAGCATCATGGTCGGGGCTAATATGAGATCTCATAAAATAATAGAATTTTAGAGGCCATCCTAGACACCCTCCTGCAAACCAGTGGAAACCAGAAAAAGAGAGGAAAGGTCTTCCAAGGCTCTCCTATCTCTCTACGGGGAATGTGGTCAGAACCAGTCTCCTAGCACCCGGGGCATCGCAGCCTGTAGGAGGCAAGGCTGGAGAGCGGCTGCCTGTGGGATGAGGAAGTTGGGACCTTCCCGGTGCTTGTCTCTGTCCCCCAGGTCTAAACGAGAAATGAAATCAGCAACTGACAGGCACGGAGGCAGCTGAAAGGCATGGAGGCACGGTATCTGACCCACAAACAGCTCAGAGCTTAAAAACATGGAATCAAGATGAACAGCCTTTCTGTCTACAATACTGGGCTTCCCAGGTGGTGCAGTGGTAAAGAATCTGCCTGCCAAATAGGAGACACAAGAGACGTGGGTCTGATCCCTGGGTTAGGAAGATTCCCCTGGAGAAGGAAATGACAACCCACTGCAGTATTCTTGCCTGGGAAATCCCATGGACACAGGAGCCTGGCAGGCTATACAGTCCATGGGGTTGCAAAGAATCGGACACGGCTGAAGTGACTAAACCACCACCACCTATAATACTGGATCATCCACTAAAGGCTTGGGCTCTTTCTTCATTTCCCTGTGTTAAGCAAACAGAGGAATCTTGTTTTCCCAATTCATTATAGCTGGACTTGTACCTATAATTTGAACCTCCCAGTTATTTCTACAACTGTTAAATTACAAGAGTGACAAGTTGGCTATCACGCTAACTCAGCTCAGGACACTGTGTTTAGAATGAAACCCTGACCATGGCCACGGCAGACTGCTTATGCTTTCAGCCTCAACTCCAGGCACTCTGATTTCCCCCCAGAACATACTAACTCTTCTTTCCTTACAACTTTTTCTCCTTTTCCTCCTTCAAGTCTCAGGCAGATTCTCTGAAAATCTTATCTAAGTGGGTCTCTGTTGTTTTACATCACAGTACTTCTTTCCCAGAATGTCTTTCACGTTGTGAATACATTGTGTTTATCAGTTCATTTTCGCCGCCTCATCTACAGGGAGTGTTGTCTGCCTCCTGTCACCAGTGGAACCTCGAAACCCAGCCTGGCACACAACAGGAACTCATTTGTTTGATAAATGCCTGCAAGAAAGTACTGACTACCAAGAATATGTGGTTTGAGCCAGTCTCTTTAGCATTCTAATGACCACGCTGCTTTTAGATCCTGAGTAGCAGAATGCCTATGACAGGGTTGTCACAGTTCTGCTGGCAAAAGAGGCCAAATAAAAACAACTTACATCCTACTAGCAGCACAGCACTACAACATCAGAACCAAAGAGCAGGAGAAAGACGGAGTCCTGCAGGGACCCAAGGGACAGAGAGCTTACTTCTGCCTGCGGTGATAGGCACCACGGAGGTAACTGGATTTATGCAGTTCAAAATGGGCTGGTGATCTGAGCAAGACAGGGAGGTGCAACCAATGAAGACAATTTCAAGAAGACCAGGTGCTCCATCTGGCAGAGCAGTGGGTTTCCAAGTGTGGACTTTAAGCCACCAGCATCAGAACATTAGGATATCTGTGCAAACTGTAGGTTCCTGGGTTCTACCTATCACTAGATCTGAAATGAGCTTTAAGAATTTTACATATCAACCAGCACCCCTGGTGAGGTGCTTTTAAAACAGGTCCACAAATACTTTGACAATCCTCTTCTCAAAAGGTAGAACTTAATATCCTCCCTTTCAGTGTGGACTGCACTTAGTGACTTGCTTTTCATGAAGAGAGGAAAGCAGAGTGATAGGGAGGGGACTTCAAGAGACTAAGCTGTAAAGGCACTGGGACTCATTCCTTGCTCTCACAGATCACTGACATGCATGTTGTAAGGACATTAAGTACCTTAATGGACAGGCCCAGACAGCAAGGAAATGAGGACTCACACCTGCGGCTGGTAAGGAACAGTAGGCCCTAGACAAAAGCCAGGTGATAGGGCCTTCTAGAAGCTGATGCACCAGCCCCAATCAAACCTTTGGGCGCCTGCAGCTGTGGCTCTTCCCCAAAATATCTTGAAAGCATCTGAGTCAGAATCATCCAACTAAATTAATTACCCTCAAACAGATAACTCAAAGAAACTGAGATAACACAGGTTCTAAGTTGCTAAGTTTTAGAGTAATTTTTCGAGAGTAGTAGTAGGTAATACACTAGAGGAAACACACTGAAGTTTGAAAACCAAATCTGTATGCAGGTCAGGAAGCAACAGTTAGAACCGGACATTGAACAACAGACTGGTTCCAAATTGGAAAAGGAGTCAAGGCTGTATGTTGCCACCCTGCTTATTTAACTTACATGCAGAGTACATTATGAGAAACGCTGGGCTGAATGAAACACAAGCTGGAGTCAAGATTGCCGGGAAAAATATCAATAACCTCAGATACACATATGATACCACCCTTACGGCAGAAAGTGAAGAGGAACTAAAGAGCCTCTTGATGAAGGTGAGAGAGAAGAGTGGAAAAGTTGGCTTAAAACTCAACATTCAAACAACTAAGATCATGGCATCCAGTCCCATCACTTCATGGCAAACAGATAGGGAAACAAAGCCAACAGTGATGGACTTTATCTTTTTGGGGCTTCAAAAATCACTGCAGATGGTGACTGCAGCCATGAAATTAAAAGATGCTTGCTCCCTGGAAGAAAAGCTATGACCAACCTAGACAGCATATTAAAAAGCAGACACATTACTTTGCCAACAAAGATCCGTCTAGTCAAAGCTATGGTTTTTCCTGTAGTCATGCTATAAAAAAAGCTGAGTGCCAAAGAATTGATACTTTTGAACTGTGGTGTTGGAGAAGACTTTTGAGTGTCCCTTGGACTGCAAGGAGATCCAACCAGTCAGTCCTAAAGGAAATCAGTCCTGAATATTCATTGGAAGGACTGGTGCTGAAACTGAAGCTCTAGTACTTAAGACACCTGATGTGAATAACTGACTCACTGGAAAAGACCCTGATGCTGGGAAAGATTGAAGGCAGGAGGAGAAGGGGACGATAGAGGATGAGATGGCTGGATGGCATCACCGACTCAATGGACATGAGTATGAGCAAGCTTCGGGTGTTGGTGATGGACAGGGAGGACTGGTGTGCTGCCGTCCCTGGGGTTGCAAAGAGTCGGACACGACTGAGCAACTGAACTGAGTTACACACAGCAGAGGCCACACCAAGGGATGTGTTGTGAAAACACACAGGATAGGTGAGTGGGACCAGACATAGGGATGAAAAGTACAAGTTTCCTTCTGTAGGCAGATAGAGTAGCCAAAGGTCTCCCAGTTGGACAGTGTCAGGGTACCACCAAATAACTTTATGTGTTTACCTCTGTCAGCATTACGTATCAAGCAGAAACTAGAATCAACTCTGTATCAACTTAATCAAAGGGGGTGGGGAAAGGAGGCATGAAGCTGATAGCTGTCGAGTGTCACCTGTGTCTGGGGTTCAGCGCTAGATGCTCCACAGCTGTGATCCTATCTAATTGAAGTTTCACAACTCTTCCAGGTGACTATGATCATCTCCAATGCACAGGAAAAGGAGGACTGAGAAAGTTAAGAAACCAGTCCAAGTTTTCCCAGCTAACACATGCCAGAGCTCAGAGTCTGAGTTGTCTGACTCCAAAGTCCTAACTCATCTCATGATTCCAAATAGCCACCTTTGAAATGTACAGGTAAAACAATGGATACGTTACAAGCTGGCAATACAGAAAACTCCAGAGCAACAGGTGGGTACTGCACAGAATTTTTTTTAAAGTTGACAATTTGTGTATGTGATTAACATGCCAGAGATCTCATTGTTATCAACTGTGAATCTGATGGCTGAAGATAAATTTGGGTAGAAATAATTTGTTGAAAACATGAACATTAAGGAAAGACCTCAATAGGATAGTACAGTATTTTTTTTAAGTTTTGCTACTATAAAAGGACATTTAAATAAGAAGTTTACCGATTTCTACTACCTTACTTCTCTACATTCCTTTCAACCTTATGCAGATGCTAGTTGTAAAAAATAAAATGAAGTAACACAGAAATGTGTAAAGTGAAAGAATTCTCCTCTCTTCATTAATCTCCATCTTCTACACTAGCAGTCACCAACCTTTCTGGCACCAGAGGCCAGTTTTGTGGAAGACAAGTTTTCCATGGACGTTGGGGTGGGGATTGTTTCAGGAGGACTCAAGCACATTACACTTATCATGCACTTCATTTCTATTATTACTACATCAGCTCCACCTCAGATCAGCAGGCACTAGATCTCAGAGTCTGGGGACCCCTGCTCTACACATCTTCCCATTTTTATGTCCTGTAGGAACTGGCAAACAGGAGGAAAACAAACATTTCTGAAGGCAAAGACCTGAATCCTGGTGATGAGAATACTGAAGAGACACTAAGCCTATACTACCACAGAAAAAACAAATGTCCCCAAAGCCAGGACCGAGGACATACAGAAATTATCCTTGGGAAAAAACAATTTTATCAACTGACCTAAAAATAAAACGAGCAGGGTCTTTACTGGGGGTTCAGTGGTGAGGAATTTGCCTGCCAACGCAGGAGACATGGGTTTGATCCCTCATCCAGGAAGATCCCACATGCCGGAGAGCAACCAAACCTGAGTGTCACAACTGCCGAGCTGTGCTCTAGAGCCCAGGAGCTGCAACTCCTGAAGCCCGTGCGCCTAGAGCCTGTGCTTCTCAACAGGAGAAGCCGCCGCCGCGAGAAGCCCAAGCAGCAACAAAGACCCAGCAGAGCCAAGAGTGAGTAAAATTAAAAGGGTAAAATGAGCACATCAGAGAGGGCATGGGCTGAGGTATCATCACAGTCATCAAACTGGGACCTAAGTCCTCAGGCAAAAGTGACCCAACTGGCTTCTCTGGACATACAGGTATGAGACAGGCCAAAGGCTGAGAGCCTGTCAGCTGGGCAACTGACTGGATGAAAATGTGTTAGAAATAATGAACAGGCATACAATCACCAACCTCTTCTTAACTAGGAAAGAGCTGCACTGTAAACCCAAGGTTATAAGTAAGAAACACTAAGTGGGTAAGGGGGAGGGAGGCAGAGCTGAAGCTGACACCCATGTTTGTGAATTTAGATGCCACCATGAGACAGAGAAGACTCAAGCTGCAGTGAGGAAGGGCGGCAGGCTGAGTCTGATTTAGGACACACCATGTGAAAGGCAATTAAGTGAAGATAGTGAAAACAAAGCTCAGTAGCTGGTATTTTGGTTTGAAGCTCAGGAAGAAATCTGGGCTATTCTGCAGAATTATCAGCATAGGGATAGTATCCTTGGAAGGAAATGACAACTGCCTAACTGAAAAATGGAAAGACAGAAACATCAACGAACAAGCATTTCAGAGTGAAAAAAGATGGGGGGGTCACAATACAGACACAGAAAATGCAGCTGGAGTGACAGAATGACACCCAGACACCGGAATCCAATGCCTCCCTCAGACTGACAAGTGGGGTCACAAACCTCGATTTATAACCAGCCTCCCTGACCCTGGAACGTCTCTGGGGTACTTTATGAAGGAAGGAGGGAAGGATGATCACCCACTTCTCAGCAAGTCTCTCTGTCTCACTCCCCACACTGATCACAGAACCTCTGCTGAACAAAAGAACAAAGATCCTCAGCCAACACTGAGGGAGAGAGCCTGGCAAATGCCAGAGTTCATGGAGAAGGAACTGTCAAGAAAAGGCACTGGTATGAAAAAGAAAAAAATATACATGTCTTCGCCTTTCTATAAACCGGGTATTTCTGTAAGGACCAAAGAAACCAATGCCACTGGCTGTCTCTGGGCAGGCATCTGGACGGGTAAAGACTTTGACTCTTATACTTTTATCTGTCCTGTGAACTCTGAAGCACAACTGAATTATCTATCTGTCTAATTATCTATTTATCTAAATTAGATCTAAATATCTAACTATCTCCTCTTCTCCAATTAATTTTAAGAAAAAGGTTGAAAATAAAGTGTGTACTTTTTTGGTTTTTTTTTTTTTTGATAAGAGGGTTTTTTTCTGAAAAAGAAAAGGTAGCTGAAAGTTGCTGTATTCTGAGGACTGTTAACAAGAGAGTTTACTATTCTTTTCATGGTGTGGGCCAAAGCTGCTGGAGGGTGGAAGGCAAGCAAGTTTTCCAGGGAATGTCTTTAAAAACCAGCAAAAAAAAAAAAAAAACAAAAAAAACACCAGCAAATATGAGAGAGCACAGTAAAGCAAAACCTAAGGAGCTTCAAGAAAGTTCAATTCCTCTCAGAGCCACCCTAACCTGGAAATAAATAACAGAACAGGAAAGCTAACAGGTAAGAGAGAAAGTAATTAAAAGCATCACTAAAACCTGCTTGTCTGACACAAGGCAAAAGCGGTGACCTGTCTATACTACCCAGGAAGAGCTGCCGACAGATGGGGCAGATAAACGTGTGGATGTTGCTGCTGTTCAGCTGCTCTGTCTTTTGTGACCTCGTGGACTATAGCCTACCAGGCTTCTCTGTCCATGGGATTTCTCAGGCAAGAACACTGGAGTGGGTTGCCATTTATTTCTCCAGGGGGATCTTCCCAACCCAGGGTTCAAACCAGAGTCTCCTGCTTGGCAGGCGGATTCTTTACCACTGAGTCACCAGGGAAGCGAAGCCCACGTGTAGATGTACTGCATGTAATTAACCAGTATTTTACTGATATCACGTAGGTTTATTGCTAACTTTGGGCTACTGAACTATTACAGTGAGCATCCTTGTATACATACATCCTCATACATTTTTGAAACTATATTGGCAGAGCAGATTCCTAGAAACTGAATGGAAGCCAAAGGGCATACATGCTTTTAAAATTTTGTCAGTACTATATTATTCTCTAAAAATATGTTAATTCACATTATTGCCAATGAGAGAGTTCCTGATTCTCTGCAATCTTGCCAACAATATGAACTATCAGCTTTTTGCAAATCTGATGTGAAAAACACAGATGTGTTCTTTTCGGATGTGGATGTTGAACATTTTTACCTGAACACTCACCATCTATCCTATTAATTGCCTAAGTGTATCTTTTGACTATTTTCTATCAGGTTATATACTCCTGTTTCTCCTCAATTTGCAAGACTTTTTATATAGTAAGGAAATAGGAACTTTGTCTGCCATACCAGACAATGTTGGGTACTTATCTAAATTCATCCTGACTCTTTCTCTGCTGGCTTTTCATAAGCAGTCCTTTTAGCTTCTTTGGCTATGTCATCTATTGTTCACCTACACATTTCTGAAATGCCAGATTATATGGCTTCCTTGATCCCCACTGTGGACTCAGCTTTCCTGAAGCCCTTCCAAACAGACTTATGCTTTCCCTCTCCTATGTCTTCATGAGGTTCTATTACAGTTTTGGTTAAACAGTTTCATTTTTATTGATAAAAGCAGTACATATATGCAGCTGTGAAAGTCGAACTGTGTAATGTAGTATCTCTCTCCACCCTCAACCCTTGCTCACAGCAAGGAGCCCTCCACCCCAGGTATCTGAGCTGCCTTACTTTGGAGCAGAAGTGCTGCTAGTCTGATTTCTTAGCTCCTCCCCCCTGATTAGCTATTGACCTGGTAATATTAGCAATGAAGACTGCTCTTACATCCTGCCCCACCCCACCCCACATCCCTTCCCTCCTTCCTCTGATCAGTCACCATAATATTTGGCGAAATTATTCAGTTTGCATTATAAATATTCTTTACAGCCACACTAGGAATGCATTTCCATTCTTTTTTTTTTTTTAGAGTGAACTGTACTTTAATTTACTGGCACTGTAAATCTATGAACAACACAGGTATTATTTTGTTTTTTTTTTCCATGAAGGGAGATGGTTTCCAATATGCTATAATACGTGCTCACAGCTTCACCTTGAACATGCAGCATTCAGGCTGTACTCAGGGTAGATTATTCCTTTTTCACTTTCACAATTTTTACGCTGCTGCCAGAAGTCTTCATGGCGTTTGCTTTGAATTCGGTCTTCAGTGCATCTCTGACTGCTTTTGCACAGATCTGGGAGTATCGGATGTAGCTGAGTCCAGCCTGTCGCCAATACGCCACCATGATGTCGCGAGAGGGGGCGCGTCGGGCCGAATCTTGAAGACCTGTCAATGTCGGCTCAGACCGCAACCCGGCTGCCGGAAGGCCAGGTCCGAGAAGCCTCCATTCTTTTTTTTTTTTTTTTTATCAAAAATGTTTTGATTTCCTTTGAGCTAATAATTGTTTTGGTTATTTTGTTCACTTAGGTTTTCTATATATCTCTCACTTTACTGGTCCATCCTTAAGCTCTGTAACAGAAGTGTATATCTCCTCTCAGATACTTTCAAATAGTCAAGTATTTTTTTTTCCTCTCTGAAGAAATTAATATTCTGGAGGCCCCTGTTCTGTTCTCAAGACCGGCTGTGTTGGATTTCCTGTTCTGGATCCTACCTTTCCCACTTGTTAGTATTCTCCCTCCCTAGCCCCACCAATATTCCTGAGGAAGAGTAAGCAGATGTCTAAATTCAAATTCAATTCTGGACCTTGCATGGCCCAGAATGTTCTGATTCTACCTTCACATGTGATTGACACTTGGCTGGGTAAAGAATTCTAAAGTTTTCTCTGGTAACTTTTTGTTAGCAAAAAGTTGGTAACGGTCAAGTTTTCTCTCCAAGTGCCACACCCCATTTTAAAGAGATATACTTGACATATAATATATATTGTGTTTAAGTCTAAGGAGTACAATGTGATGATTTGATACACACAGATACTGTGAAATCGTTACCACAGTAAAGTTAGTTAACATATCCTTCACTTCACATGATTACCGTTTTTTTGTTGCTGTTATGGTGAGAATATTTAAGATCCATTCTCACAGCAACTTTCAAGTACCTAATACTTGTTAACCACAGTCCCCATGCTCTACATTAGAAACTTGGAACTTACCCATCTTACAACTGGAAGTCTGTACCCTCTGACCAACCGCTCTCCATTTCCCTCAACCCCCCACCCCCTGGTAACCACTGTGAACTCTTTTTATATGAGTTCAGTTTTTTTCTTTTCTTTTTTTAAGATTCCACATAATTGATATCATAGCTCCAATACTTTGGCCACCTGATGCAAAGGGCCAACTCATTAGAAAAGACCCTGATGCTGGGAAAGATGGAAGGCAGGAGGAAAAGGAAACAACAGAGAATGAGACGGTTGGATGGCATAACCAGCCCAACGGACATGAGTTTGCGCAAACTCCAGGAGATAGTGAAGAAGCCTGGCCTGGAGCAGTCCATGGGGTCGCAAAGAGTTGGACACAACTGAGTGACTGAACAACAAGTGTTTGTCTTTGTCTGATTTAACTCAGCATAATGCACTTAAGGCCCATCCATGTTGTCACAAAGGGCAGGATTTCCATTTTTACAGCTGAATAATATTCCTATTATTACATAATATATATAATATATTATGAAATATATAATAACAATACCCCTCACACTTTTTTTATCCATTCATCTGTCAATGAACACTCAGGCTGTCGCCCTAACTTGGCTATTGAGAGCAGCACTGCAACAAACATGGAAGGTCAGATACGTCTCCGAGATAGTAACTGTATTTCCTATGGATATACATTCAGAAACAGATTGCTGAGTTGTATGATAGCTCTATTTTTAATTTTTTGAGAAACCTCCACACTGTTTTCCATAGTAGTTGTTCAGATTCCGACCAACAGTACACATTTCCCCTTTCTTTGCACTCTTGTCAGATTTACCTAGTCTTTTTGATAACCATTCTAACAGGTGTGAAGTGATATCTCGCTGTGGTTTCAATTTGCATTCCCCCTGATGGTTAGTGATGTTAAACACCTTTTCATGTACTTGTTGGTTATTTGAATGTCGTCTTTGGAAAAATTTCTATTCAGGTCCTTTGTTGTTTTTTAAATTGGATTCTTTAGGGTTTTATTTGCTATTGGGTTTTAAGAGTTCCTTCCATTTTGCAGGCTGCCTTTTCATTTTGTTGATTGCTTTTTTTTTTTGGTCTGTGCAGAAGTTTTGTAGACCCACTTTTTGTGCCTGTGCTTTTAGTGTCATATAAAAAAATCACTACCAAAAACAATGTCAAGGAGTTTTCCCCCTGTGCTTTCTTCCACGAACTTTGTTTTCAGATCTTCCACTTAAATCCTTAATCCATTCTGAGTTTATTTTTATGAGTGGTGTAAGGCAGGGGTCCAGTTTCATTCTTTTACACATGAATATTCAGTTCTCTCAGAATTTTAAAGGCTTTGATCCATTTTCTTCCAGTTTACAGTGATAATTCTTTATGACCTTTCCCCCCCTTTCTTCTAATTTTGATGTATTTATGTTTTAATGTACCGCAGATTCAGTCTCTGTGGTACATCAGCATTCAGTCCAGATATATTGTAGATCTTTGCCCTTTACTGCATTGGCACTAAGCCTTTCAATCTGGAAATTCAGGTCCTATAGTTCTGGGAAATCACATGTTAGTCTTTGACAATCTTCCCTCCTATCCCCAGTTATTCTTACAACTCCTCTTCATCAGAAACTAGACCTCCTAGATAGGCACTTCAGTTTTACATGGTATCTTAATTTTCATCTCTACGAACTGAGAGCTTTTGTTGGCTTTATTTTCTAACCCTTTACTGAATTTCTTTCCGATACCATGAACTATCCTCTCCCCAACAGTCCTTCTTCAATGCACCATGTTTTTCTTTTATGAATGTAATGGTTGTTGTTGCACTGTCTCCCTCTTTTTAAACTCTTTGAAAACACCAATGATAGTGTGTGTGTGTGTGTTTGTTTTTAAAGTAGTTCAGTTTCCTCTTCCAGTGTTTCTTTCTCTTATTCCTGTTTGTTTCAGGTTATCCTCAAATATCTGGAGATTCTTGGCTGTCCTCCCATATTTAAGAGAGGCACCAAACCGCTGGACTGAATGTTATATAAGAGCTGGACCAGGGGATGACCAGGCAGAGATTAAGCAGATTCACTGAAAGACATTAAACGTCTCTAGCTATATTTTAATTTAGCTCAATTCTCCTGGAGAAGAATCCTCCAAACTCCTTTTAGGCAACATAAAGGGCTAAGAGAGTTCTGAGAAGCAAGCAAGGAGATGGGAGAAAGACTTTCATCACTCAGCGGGCCGCTGTTTTTAGTATGGGGGCCCCCAAGTTTAATGTTCTTTGACGGAACCTCTTCAGAAAACAGCTGCCCAGTTTCTACTGGGGGAGAGAAGGGCGGGCTGCCTTAAGGTGACATAAGGCCCATTTACAGAGTTTCAGCCAATCCTGCTTTCAGTTCTACTTGTATCTCCACCCACGAAAGGAGCTAAAAGAACTCATTCTTAAACTTTCTGAATTCTGTGGCATGGTTCAGCATGATTCTTGCTGGACCAGCCTACCTATTCCTGCCCCTAGCTGCTTCCTTTGGGGACTTGGTTTCAGCTCACTATGATATACGAAATCTACTATGTGAAAAAAAACATATAATAATGTGCAGACACACACACATGCATCTATTCACCTATCTGTTTTCCATCTGGCAAAGTTGGTTTAATTCTTTGTCTGCTAGTCTTCTCTATTTTTGACACTCCTTTTTAATTCCTTTACTACTATTTACTGAGTGGGAGAAACAAGCAAAGGTAAATGTACTAATGTTTAACTGGAAAGCCTATATGCCAATATGTTAATTCCCAATTTTTGAACAGATGTTTTGAGATTGAACTACAGCTTTCTTCCCTGTTTCTGATACATTTTGACAGCCGTCCTGGTTATCCGGGTAATTAAGATCTTTATTTGGTATAGTACTTCTGTGTATTCTTGCCACCTCTATTAGTATCTTCTGCTTCTGTTAGGTCTTTACTGCATCTGTCCTTTATCATGCCCATCCTTGCATGAAATGTTTCCTTGATATCTCCAATTTTCTTTTCTTTTATATATTTTACTTATTTGGCTGTGGCGGATCTTAGTTGCACCATGTGGGATCTCTAGTTGTGGTCCAGGGACTTAGTTGCCCCACGGCGTATGGGATCTGAGTTCAATCCCTACTCAGGGACTGAACCCACAACTCCTGCATTGCAAGGCAGATTCTTAACCCCCGGACCACCAAGGAAGTCCCTCCAATTTCCTTGAAGAGATCTCTAGTCTTTCCCGTTCCTACTCTTTTCCTCTACTTCTGCATTCCTCACTGAAGAAGGCCTTCTTATCTCTCCTTGCTATTCTCTGGAACTCTGCATCCAGTTGGGTATGTTTTTCCCTTTCTTCTATGTCTTCCGCTTCTCTTCCTTTCCCAGCTATTTGTAAGGGCTTCTCATACAGTCACTTTGCATTCTTGCATTTATTTCTCTTCAGGATGGTTTTGGTGACTGCCTCCTATACAATGTTTCAACCCTCCATCCATGAAGATCAGGCATTCTAGCTACCAGATCTAATTCCTTGCATTTATCTGTCACCTCCACTATATAATCTTAAAGGATTTGATTTAGGTCATATCTGAATAGCCTAGTGATTTCCCCTACTTTCTTCAATTTAAGCCTGAATTCTGAAATAAGGACTTCATGATCTGAGCCACAATGAACTCCAGGTATTGAGTCGTGTTTGACTCTTTGTGACCCCATGAACTGTAGACTGCCAGGCTCCTATGTCCATTGAATTTTCCAAGCAAGAATACTGGAGCAGGTTGCCATTTCCTTCTCCAGGGGATTAGCCCAACCCAGGAATCAAACTCAGGACTCTCTGTGTTTTCCTGCACTGGCAGGTGGATTCTTAACCACTGTGCCACCTGGGAAGTCCATTATTAGTTCCTTACATTATTCTTAGTTCCTGAGATTTATCCTGTTCCTTCTTCTAACTTACTAAATATTTAATGTACTGTCATTTTTTGTTAATAATATGTTTAAGGTTTCAAATTTTCATGAACAACAAAAGCAGTATTCTATAGGTTCTGATACACAGTGTCACTTTCTAGATACACTGCAATTTTGATTTGCATTTTCTCTTAGACCCCATGAGTTCTGTGAGTGCCTTACGTTCCTTACGTTGGTACTTTTTCTGTTTCTGTTTTTACTGCTTGTTCAGAAAATGTAACCTGGAAATATCTTAGTTAGGCTTATTAATTGTATTAACTGGACCACTGCTTATAGCTAGCTGCACAAGTGCCCAATCCTGAGGAAATCATTTTGCTTGCAGTCATCATAGTTTTGAATAGTTATCACAATAATTTCCTGGCACATAGCAGTAATGTATCCTAAGAAAGGGATGCTTTTTAAAAAAAATTCACAAATTTGTGGGACTTCCCTGGTGGTCAATTGGTTAAGGCTCTCTGCTTCCACTGCATGGGGCACAAGTTCCATCTCTGGTCAGGGAACTATGATCCCGCATGCCACAAGGTGTGGCCAAATAATTTAAATTAAAAATGTGCAAGTCTGGGCTAGTCTGCACTAGTATGGGCTAGTGGAGGAGCTCTATATAAAGACCTGTACCTTTCTTCCTCTACTTAGCATGCCACACACAGCCTGAGAGAGGAAGCCTCCTTTGTTACTCTTGCGCTTCTAATTTTAGCTCAGATTTTACCTGTCACGTATTTTGGGATTCTATTTATCATCTGCCCTTTTACTATTGAAAATAAAAATTTTAAATGTAAAAATAAATGTAAAATAACTGTCTTTAAAATAGCAGTTGTGCAATGAACCAGAAAAAACACTTCGAAGAACAAAGTGTATGTGTGTGTGTGTACAGGCATGAATAGAAACTGTACTGCAGATCAGCGGAAAAAAGGAGAGCCTAGACAGTAAGATATAACACACGAAAAAAACATGAAATTAAGATTCCTATTTCACAATATGCACAACTTCAAGGTAGATTAAAGATTATAAAACTTAAAGACAATAGAGAAACTATCTTTATGGCCCCAGGCAGGGAAGAATTTGTTAAAGACATAAAAGGTATAAACCATAAAAGAAAAGATTTGATAAATTCAGGTGTGCTAAAATTAAGAATCTCTCCTGTTCATCGAA